TAGCCCCATACTACACAGAAACGTCAACCGAGACGTCTCTCTCACCAGCTTTGCAGCTGGTTCTAGCAATAGTCAAAACATGAAGCAAATCAACGTGTGAATGTGTATGTCTGTTAAGTGGTGTGTAGCTAAAAACATTCTCACGACCCCTAGTACATGTCGTGACTTGAACATAGGAACATTATGGCTAAGGCTACAGTTATACACATTGTAATAATAATAATAAACACCCTGTTTGTTGACAGTCATCAACTCTTCTCTCTGGTAACCTTGACCAGATGTACCCTGTAGAAACTCATGAGCAGGCCTAAGCATTTAACAGTCTAACTAGACATCCTCTCTCCACTAACATTTCTAATACATAAAGTATCTATCCAATATCTATCTGACTAAAAATATCTAACAGCATTAAAAAGAGAACCATGTACAAACATGAAAACACCATCCCAACACTAAAGTACAGTGGAGGGAGCATCATGATGTGGGACTGTTTTGCTGCCTCTGGACCTGGAGGGGTGGGGGACAAATTCCCAAGATCATCAAGGTATCCTACAGGATCATATCAGGGTAGCTGTCCACAAGCTGAAGCCCAGAACAAGCTGGGTGATGCAGCAGGACAAAGACCTTAAACATCAAAGTAAATCTGACCTCAAGAGCTGTTTGCACCGGACAGCCTAAGAATATGGCTGAGCTGAAACAATTCTAATGGTCCAAACTTCTTCCTGAACTTTGCACAGGTCTAAGCCACAGCTACAGGAAGCGCTTGCTTGAGGTTACTGCTGTCAAAGGTGGTTCAACCAGTTATTAAAACACTGTTGCCCTTACTTTGCATGTTAATGGGTGTGTTCAATAAAGACATGACAGATCACAACTGTGTTTTATCAGCTTAGAAATATGTGATGATCAGATCACATTTCATGACCAATTATGCAGAAAACTGGGAACTTGCAAACAGTGCTATTCCTTTTTCTTGACTGTACAACAAAATCTGAAAATGAAAAGTCCATTTCACTTTCTGCCTTGTATGAGAACACAGATTGTTTTACAATGTTCAGACTATTGTGTGCATACATTGTCTTGTGCATCAAACTCCTACTCCACCACTCATTTTTATGGCACAACACCAACATTCAGCTAGATTTCTTGTTTTACGCATTTGTCTTGACAATCCATTTTAAAGGACCATAAATAAGATCACAGAGGAACATGACTGTTAATCCATTACCAATTTGAACAATTTTCTTCGACTTTTTGCAGACATACCGTGTATAATTCTGTTAAACTAAAAAGGGAAATCCAGTTGTAAATTATCTGCAAGCACATTCAAGATCAACATGATCACCTAACAGGATAAATAAAAATAGCACAAGTCAAAATTTTGTAAAGAATAAATCAACATTGGCAAGGCCGTAGTTACCAAATGTATTAAGCACAAAGGCTTCTACATGATCTTACCTGTGAAACATGAAAAAACTGCCCTCCACTGCCTGCTCATACCTACTGCAGGTACTGATAACGTGCGCCAGGTAGTTGCGCACTCTGAACTCATCGCAGCTGGGTGATGGACAGAAATCATCATCATTACTGGAGGTTGCTGGGACAGTAGCCTGGACAATGATATTGTTACTGTAGTGGAGAATGTCCAGTAGTGACCAAGCACATCTATTTGCCAGTGGTCCACATAATTCTCTCATCAGAACTTTGATAAAGTCATACATTTTACATCTAGACACCTTCAAACAAGAAAAAAAGTATTTAAAAATAAATCTTAAAAAGAAAAAAACCCACACAATATTGCATTTACACTTTTTCTTGTAATACATGTCAATGTAATCAAGTATGTTTTCAAGAAGAAAAACTTCACGTGATAGTTTTCCTACTTTGTTTGAAATGTCAGATATTTTTAATGTTTAACTAATATTTAACCATATACCAACCCGCTATCTTGTCAACTTAAGTATTTGACAAAATTTTATGTGGCCAGTTTAAAAAGGCAGCGCTTTTTTTTTTAGCCGTTTCTACATACACACCTTTAACAAGTACTCTTTTCTTTTCTTTTTTTTCCCAAAAACCATTTAAGGCATGCAACTGAAACCTGGGCCAGGATAAGAGAGATCAGATGAGAGTTACTGGTTGACCAATACAGGACAGGGGTTTAACAATGTTTTCTCTGCTTACCTGTTAGCTTTAGATTTATTCCCTGGCTCATGCTGTATCAGATGAACACAATCTGAGATCTTCCTCCTGGCTGCATATAACCATTGCCTAAAATCCATCAGTTACACTGGGAAATTGCTGAAGGATGAGGGTTCTGATTTGTTGTGTCTTAATGAGTTTGCAGCTGCTTGAAACTGGCTGACATGGCTGGGCCACTTGATGCAACTGATCCATCGTTAACAAAATTAGTTTCACCTGTGCTTTTCCTGCTGTGACAAGTCAAAACCTGCTGTGAAAACCTGTTCCCTACTTCTACAAGCTTCTAATAGGTATGTTAAGTAGTGATGTTTAGGTGGTGCTTAATTTAGGAAGAGAGGGCAGAGCTAAACAAAAACCACCACTTAGAGCCAAAACCTGCTGCTGTGATATCACCATGTTAAAAACAGGATTTAAAGATCTTTTTACACCCCAATGATTTTGAGGAAAAACAGATGACTAATAACATTAGCAATGACTTCAGTCCCTTCTGGTGTGTCATTAAACAGTATAAACTACCATTGACACTGTTACTGAAATGCTTCAACCTACTACTAAATATAATATAATGGTACTTTCTTTACTTAATAGTTTACTTAATAATTTTCTTTTTCTGGTTGTTGCATCATGTGTTGCACAAACCCTTAAATCTGACCAATGATAACACAACATTCCCAGTATTCTCCCACTTTGTTGTAAAAGTGCAGCATGTGTGCCTGTGTATAAATATATAGTACACAGTGAAACCATTTAGCACCATGGGTCTGTTCTCTACGTGTCTCCTGTAGAATGATGCCCACTGCTGGCCACAGATTTCTTTCTCAGCTGCGTTCTCTGACCCTGATGCTCCCTCTGGTAGCTTCCATCTTCTCCTTTAATCCCTTATCCTGGAGGGGAGGCCAGGGAAATGCACACTAAGGAGAGAAAACCGTCACGGTACTCCATCATGGGGCCCCTAATGACGCACCCCCTCAGCCACTGACTGAGGAGAAAATAACCACAGGAGTGACATATTGGGGAGGATGACATGTTAGATTAATGAAGCTCTGTTAAGCATCTAAAATAACACTATATGCGCATAATGCTTCACCCCTAATTATGTAAATAAAACAAAAAAACAAGTCATGTCAGTTCAGCTTTATTTTAACATCCTTGCAGCTGTGATATAGGTTCTTAGATTGATGTCAAAAAGGATAGTGTTCCTTCTGTTCAGCTGTAATGACATGGAGGCCCTAAACAAGAAGACAGACGAGAGAAAACTCTTTGAGAAAACAAATCAAAGCAGAACTCAGATTTATCTGATCATATTTTGATGCAGGCTGACCTAACAGGTTTGGATTATGATTAGCAGGTAGGCCAGGGTAAAGGGTCAAGCAGGGGTCGAACTGTCCCCAGGTATCATTACAGGAACGTGGCTGGTTGTGGTACACGCTGCAGGAGATGTCCCCACCTGGAAAGCAAAACAGTTTCTGTCAACATTCACTTTTTTTCCCTGTCTTCTTCCCACTGCAATCTTCACTTGTTCTAATTAGAAGGATGATAAAACACATGCATGTTGTGTGTGTTCCCCAGTGTAGCTAAGCATGTTTATGTATTTGATCTCCTTTTCTAATGGTTGCAGTGATGGAGGAGTGAAGGTGTAAGAAGGCCTGTAATGAGAGGGTGGGGTGAGGGGGAGGCGGAAAGGAGCAGAGAGCCTGCTGGCTGAGAGGACAGAAGCCCGGGGCGTTGAGGTGGATCTCCTGCTGCGGAGGTTGTTTCAGTCAGACTAATATTAACACAGCACCTCCGGTTTTACTCATAAGTCTGCTTTGTGGCTTGGTATCACAGAGAATCCACTGTAAGCTCTGTGTTTAATCTACAAACATATTTATTTTTAGAAGATTTTTTACCTTACATTTTGTCTTTAGAACACAGATACAGATGTTGCCAGTGGAGAAAAGTCATTTCTTATTTGCAATTTGAAACAATTTGTTTCAGAAATGCTCTTGTATTCGTGTCATTTTATTGAGATGGGACAAAAAAGAAGAAAAAATGTTATCTTTGCTGGATTTCAAAACAAAAAATGAAACATTGCTGACTTATTAAAAGAGCTAGGAGTTTAGTGTTCCCTGATAGACTAGTGGTTAGGGCACAGCACTTTCGCCACTGCAGCCCGGGTTTGAGTCATGGTTGCGTCAGGCATCTGGCCTAAAACACGTGCCAAATGCCAACATGCGAATCGTCGCTGTGGTGACCCCTAACAGCAAAAAGCTGAAAGTGATGTTTCATAGGAGCTTAGTGCAGTGTGGGATTTCCTGTCTGGTGTTTGGCAGTGCCCATAAAGTCTCATGTTAGTTTAATAGGTGCCTTGTATCAGTCCCTTTTAGTACCTAATAATGAAGCACATTAATTTCTTGTATACTAATTGTCAAAACACTGCACTATGAAGAGAAGCATACATACATACAGTATGTACATTGGTATTGGTATCTATTCAGGAACTGGGGCACAACTTGTGACTGTATTTAAGTTAATGGAAAATATGTTGAATTACAAAGTAACATTTTTTCACATAAATCTAAGGTCTTAATAGCTTATTAATGTTTTTACAGCATTTTAACTTGTCATAGTGGGATAATCACAGGCGTGACTAACAGGTGTCTCTGTGTCCTAGTAAATTCACCATGACAGTCTGGCAGTGAGTCAGCACGCACGATACAGGACCCTGAAACTGTAGCAGCTAAATGAAATGCACACATTGTTAACTTTATTATTCACACCTGTGCTTTTCCTACTGTGACATATCTAGAATAAAAAGTATTTGTGATGCAGAGGAAGAGTTCAAAAGACAAGCCAATTAACTGTTTGGGTCACCAAATGTCATTTTCAAAAGCTGGATAGAGTGAATAGCCAGAGTAGACTATTAAAGCCTCCAGAAAAACAAAAGTAACTATACTCTGTCTGTTATGTGCTCACTTGCAATGAAGCTAGTTCAAAGAATAAATCAGTGGTAAACAAATATTGGTTCATTTTACAGCCTGAAGCCTCTTTAAATGTGATTTTTACAAATCCACCTCTATTTACATGTAAAAAAGCCCAAACTCTAACATCGTTGTTAGGACTTTTGTTAGAAGAAAGAAGATGTTTATCAAAGCAGTACAATTTCCTTATGACACTATCACAGAAACAGGACACTTCACCAATTCATTTTGAGGTAATGATTTTCATATCAAGTAATGCTATAGCTGCCCCACAAAAAGTTCAATATATGAGTTACAGTGTCTGTGCCCCAAAGTCTAGGTAGGAAAAACATCTTGCCAATCAACTACACATGCACTTACTTCTTCTCCAGTTGCTTGCTATGTAAAACAAAATAACCATCTTATTTCTCAACTTGAGTTGTCTGGTACTGAAAAAGTGAGGCAACCACTATGATGTGAATATTGGATTTTCATATTAAATTACATATCTCCCACTAATTTAAGAGAGGAATCTATCTAACTTATCTATTTTCCTACAACTTGTAGAACACTTTTCTTATTGCTCTAAATGTTGTTTTTTTCTAACACTACAATGACCTATGACAGTTGACCTTATGTTTTCAAACCATAAACGTTTATGCATTATGTCAGACTCATAGATTGCATTACCTTCCTTATGTTTGATGCATTTCTTGATTCCCAGAATCCCACTGATGGAATAGGAGGGCTCAGATGAACGGGTCATTACCATGGCAACAGATGATGGGGATGATACTACAGAGGCAGACAACAGTGTCAGGAAATATTAGAGGCAGGTACAGACCAAAAGACCATAGTAGAGACAGGGAAACCTACCAACTTCACAAGTCTCAGACTGGACTTTGTTTCTGATGATCCTGTAAAAACCGAGGGGATTAACTCAACACTTGTTTTAATGATCTGTCAGGCATCCATTTACACAGGAGGTCATCAATACCTGTTGATGGAGCTGATGCTCGGCACACTGTCATGGTCACACACTCGTTCCAGCAGCAGCCTGTCTCTGATCTCCCAGGCAAACATGGTGGGGTTGGTGAGTTTCAGACTCAGGATCATTTGCACAACTCTGGGAGTGGCCACTTTGGGCTTAGAGCCTCCAATGACTCCTGGTCTGATGCTCCCTGTCTCATTGTACCTGAATCAACAATACTGATATTTGTCAGGACAGGTTAACATTTTAACTGAAGAGAAAGTTTAATACATATATGATTTGATTCAAGTAGTTATACAAGATAGAATAAAGTGAGAAAAAACACAATTCAAACATAACATTGTTGGATCAATATCAAAAAGAAATGTATTTCCAAATACAGTACTGCATCCTGGGAGGAGCAAACACATTTCTAAAATAAAACTGGAGTTAATCAAACATTATGCAAAAGTAGTGCATTTAATCATCTTTCTGAAAGTGGTCAGTTTTGAAATATTCATTTTACAATAGGCTATAAGATGTTTTCATGTGTGAACACTTTTCCTAGGCTAAATAAAGGTGATATGCAAGTCTACTAACATGTGTAGGCTACAAGTCACTCAATATCTGCTTTATTACAACTATGTCTATGAATTAATACATGAATATCGAGCCAATTCATTTACCTGGCCAGTATTTTGCTGACACAGCCGTGACTGACGCGTAGGCGGCGGGAGATCTCACAGGGACGCACGCCCCGTTGAGCGAACTCCACAATGCGTTGTCTCACCACGTGCGGTAACGGGCGTCCGTTAATGAAGACTCCGCCGAGCTGGTTCACCCCGCCGTGCCCTGAGCACCGGAACGGATAACCCCGATTAAAAGGCATGCAGCGTGCCTGGCTACGTGCACTGAACAATTCAATGCTAAACATGATGACACTCGCCCTCTCACTTATTTAATAGGAAACACTGTTACTTACTGTGCGTAAGGGAGAGCGGCACATGTCCAAAGCGAACTTCCATCACACGCTGATGTCTGACTCTTTATCTGTATCCTACTGAACTTTAGACGTTCGTTGCTACAAGGTGTATTTGGCCTAGTTGGTTTCGCGGAGGGTGCATCTTTAATCAAACATAAAACCAAATAAGAGAAGTTTTTATGAACGCACTGCTCAGATTCTGTCCAGCAGGCTGTTTGCGGTGCTGAGGAACTGGACAGTCCGCTCCTCCGCAGCTTTCAGCACCTGAGCGGTGGACAGCGGCACGAGCCTCATGTGATTGGACCATACAGTTTATGGATTGGACACTCGCGCACTGGTGCACGCGCTCGGCTATCTTTGTTTATGTGCTAAAGAAACGCCAGTCACTTCTTATGAGCAGGGCTGTAGCCAGGGTTTAAATGGGCGACACTTCACAATATGGTACACAAGAGTAGTTACTGAATAGGGACGACTTCGTAGGCTAGTTAATGGATCCTTAATGAGTAGTTCCCGAATAACTCCGAATCGAATACTAACGTACAGAGAACAGAATTGTAAATAATCTTTATTTCGTATAAGGCTATCTGTGAAATAACAGCTTATGACGAAAGCTTATGACGTTCGCTTTCGTCACAAGCTGTTTGCTAAATTGCACCGACTAGACTAATTAAATAGCCTACGCTTTTTTTTGCCCTCTCAAGTAAAGTAATATTCTGAGTTGTTAGGCTACTAAGTAGTTCAGTATTACTCGATAATTATGAATTTTGACTGAGAATTCACAATCACAAGACATAATACATTAATAATAAGTCTAAGATAGCAAAATGCTCAAAAATTATTTTACTTACATAGTCCACATATAGGCCTACTAATATTCAGATCTAAGTCAATAGGCCTGAAATTTATGCCTATATTTATTGGCCTGTGTTCACATTTAAAGTCTAAACATACTGGAATTTGACCTACAAAACCCCACCAATCACCATATGTATGTTTTAGGCTATACACCAGGTTTAAGTTCATAACATTTCCGGAAAATGCTGAGGATATGACCTCAGTGTCCCCAGTGGTAAATACGACAACGCTTGTAATCGATTTCACATTAAAAAACATCAACATTATTAAGCAGCTTACTCTCTAAGATTCAGCCTCCAAGATTTTGTAAGACAAGAAAAGTGTGCGATAATTGTAATTCCACTTACCCCTCTATTAAATCCACTCCGGGAATGGCAGTAGTGGCCAAACTCGGAGTTTGTTAACGCTGGGTTTAGTTTTGGTTGTCCAACATTTTCCGGAAAAGCCGGTAGAAGCGCACCACAGACAGGCATGAAAGCAACTGCTCCTTAACTTGTATGGAGGGAAAAATAACAGCAATGTGCTTTATGTTAGGTCGTACGTGAGTTATAGTGAGCTAAAAACGACAAGCGTCCGAAGAGACTTTATTTTACTTGGCTGTGCTGGCTAACTTCGGACCTAAAGGTTAGCACGGCGCTGGTTAGCCTAGTGTTAACCCACGTATAGAAATCTTTGAGTAGCATTATCTGTTTTGAAGTATTGCAGTCAAAACAAAGAATAGGCATATTCTTTAACTTGGCAGTTTTATTTCTGTCTACTTGTAACTGACCCCGATCCACTCTGGTAGCAGTACAACGAGCCGTCGTTGTGCGGTGCTGTTCAGCTGCAGTTGGTGTCAGGTTGTACAATGACCTAGCGTCTATCGTTACTGGAGGACGTCTAATGTAATGGTGTTCATACCTCCAGTGGAGTCCAGGGACTTGTAGATCAATGCCAAGGCACATTGGAGCTGATCTGGTGGCCCAACACCTGACTTAAGTTTGTCAGCAAGTTACAGCATATAGGCCACAGCTGCATACCTCCTTCATCTCTGAATTTTGGTTAATATATTTGGGTTGTATGAGAATATCATTCCTGACCCATGGGCATCAAATATAATTTAGAAGTAAATGTGATTTAAAGAGATGCTGCAAACTAATTTGTCAGTTGCCACTGGATAAGTACTTGCCATGTTTTGTGTTCAAGTGTAAGTGAATGATCATAATTTCCAGCTGGTAGCCAGAAACGTGGGGCAATACCAACTGGAAAGCAGTAATTTGTTATAATCAGCCAAACAGGACCCAATTCAAGGCACATCACTACTACTTTATTTAACAATATGTAAGTGGTTAAAGATTTTTGACATTTAAAATTGCATGATTTGAATTACAGAACAGAATTTAGAAGTTGTGTGAAACGGCTTTTGAACTGAACCCTGGTTTTCTTACATTGTTACAGTAAAACAATGAACACATTATTTCCACTTAACAAGGTGATGTTGAATGTCCTTACCAAAAAAAAAAAAAGCTTTAGCAATGTGGTGCTAAAGCTAATTTATTCAGAGAAATATGTGCCTACTGTCATTATCCAGGCTTCTGGAACTTAAACATCTTCTGAGTAGCAGTTTGTGGTTTTTAAAGCCCTTTATTTATATTGCCAAATTGTAAAAACAAATATTGTAGAAATACATTAAAATATACATACTTAGAAATTGATTTAAATAGTACATTAAACTGACTTTTAGTATAATGGCACACTCATCTACCCTTCTGCCTTTCTTCACACTGACATGTCTGACAGTGGTGGAGCAGGAACAAGTGTCAGATGTTGAAGGGGAATTTCTGTGTGCAATTACGATGAACTGTGGCCATGGAACTGAGGCTTGTGCAAGTGTTCCTTATTCCACAATGACCTATAAAACAGAACCAAGTGTGACCAGTTTTATAAAAAGAATGCATCTGCATATTTCTGTCTTTGTGTGTACACTGAAGTTTTAATCCTGAAGAGTTTAGAGTTTTTACCCCTGCTGTCCTGTTGTTGTAAGACCAGCATCACACTTAGAACTGCTCATTTATGGTAAAATGCTAAAATACATGTTTTAGTCTGTGTTCTGTCTTAAAAATCATTCTCCATATATTCTGTGCTGTTGTGACAAATTATGCTGTCATGTAAAAAAAAAACCTGACAAAACATTAGTTTTTATTGTAATATGTAATATCTTTACACTGTGTTTCTATTGATCTCTGCTGTAATTGTCTTACTCAGCTTTTTCTTACAGGCTGCCATAAGATGTGTAGAGTGTTGTCGTAATCCCATAGTTACCTGTAGAGGCTGATTGGCGATAAAGGCCCCTAATGACCATCTTAAAACTCTTCTAAAATCTTTTTTGTCTCTGTGTCTTCAGAAATATCTAACCTATATCCTTTGTGGTATGCAGGGCCACATCCAGATGCCTGTCCAGGCTATCCCTGCCCCAGCTGTGGACTGCTCTCACATGACCTCAGGCCCTGTGAAAATCCCCTTGTGTGGAACTAACACTGCAAGGGCTGTGGTATGACAGGACACTTCTCTGATGTGAATTTGCCTGTGAGCCTCCAGGTCTGGCCATATTGAATGTTTGTGTTAGAGAGTGTGTTGCCATGTTGAAGGAGACTTTGAAAGTATTTGTCAGTTGTGTGTTGACAGACTCTTTTGCCTCGGGCGTGTGTGGGCGCCATTTATGAATGGTTGTTTAATCTTGGTAAACAATGCTTTTTCTCTGAATTCTCTCTCAAACAGTATTTTTCCTTCCTTTCTGTTTTCTGGGGTATCCTCAGGGGTGCCCTCATCCATGGAGACAGCACCACTTGATACTTAGTTGAAGTTTTACCTTATTGTGCTATTCTTACTCACTTTCTTTACTAAACAAAATACATGATGCCTGTGAACACAAAAGGTCTTCCTGGTTTATTGTATAAACATCACCACTTAGAGTTTTTAGTGATTGTGCTTAAAATTACATAACTGAAATGGCCACAACAGATGTTCTTTTGTTTGATCTTTTCTACAGATTCAGTTAGAGGTGCCTCTTAGGCCACAAACAGTCCACACCCTGAAACGGCAGAGATGCCATGCTTTGTTGGTAGTGTATGAAAAGAACCCTTCTCTTAGTTATACCATCTCTCTTTTTCTATTGACTTGATCTTTGCTTATACTTTCTTTCTACTGCTTAACATTTTATCACTCTGCATTTCTTTAGCACTTTCACATCTCTTACTGCCTTTCTCTGTCCTCTGTATACCTCTGTACTACACATTCTCCCCTTCTTTTTTGTATATTTTCACTGTACCTGCCCTTCTTTCACCCTGTTACTCCATCTCTTTCGATGTCATCTTTCTTTTCTCTCCTTCTGTAACTTTTTTGTAACAATGCTGTCTTGCGTCCATTCTTCACCTTTTCTGTTATCTTGTACTTGTCTTTGTTGCTGCACTGATCAAGATTTGAACAGTCCTACCTGTTCTGAAATTGGTTTAAAAAGTAACTGAACACCAGGTTCAAAAATAGTGTTTTGCTGCATTCTGTGGTTCAAAGTTTCAAACCTGTTTCTGTAACGACACCCAACAGTGATGTCTCCTGAGTACACCTGTTCTCCAACAACTCTAGCAAAATAGCTGGCTCCCTGAAGAAGGCAGTTTTTGCCACTACGCATGGGCTATAACCACCATTTAGAATATGTCATTTTTAATCTTCTACAAGTTAGCCATCTGGAAAAAAAGGCTTTTTAATTTTTCAGATGAGTACCTTTGAGCTACTTTTTTAATCTGCTGATTTTTTTTTGTCCCTTTCTTTAAAGAGCACCGTTGACTAAGTTGGAGTGGACACCCTGAGCTATCTGGCATTTTTTTCTTTTGTCTTCGGTTTGTTGTTGGACAGGTGGGATTCTGCCTGTTGCAGCTGAAAGCAGGGTTAGTGAATGTGGATCATAAGGGTAAGGTTAAGAGCATAAAACCAACCCAATGACCGGAAAGACACTGAGCAGAACTGCCAAGTTGGTTAATAATTCTCTGCAGGTTTGGCTCATTGAACAACCCGTTTCACATTAACATTAGACCTATCACTGGTATAAAAATGTTAATTAGTGCAGCTGTAAACAACCATGTCTTTCAACTTATCGTTCAGTTAAACAAGATCACACTGATTATCAAGGAAATCTTTTCTATCAATGTTGTCTGTGTTTTCAGAGCTTTTGAGTGCTGAATTTCTGCTTTCAGACCAGCAGCACCTACCTGAACCAATAAGGATGAGTGGTGGGGAGAATTAGCTGGTCTAGGGCAGGAGCAGGACAAAGCAGGACCCATGTAGCCAAGATAGCAGGAGGAACACTTGGCCAGAGAGATGCAGAGATAGATGAGAAGTGATGAGACTGAGGAGGGAGACTCAGGCCAGGCAAGAAGGGGGACTACTGGAGAGGTCCCAAGGTAACTCAGATGATTGAAGCCTGTCTCCCAGAGCCCTTCAAGTACACTCTTCACAGGGTGTCCACACCCCCTCCACAGAAGAAGAGGAAGGTTGAGGCAGGTGGTAGGAGCAGCAGTAAGAGCAGAGAGGAGGGATAAAACATGAGGATTTGTATCTTCATGGTGATATAGACATTAGAAGTGAAAACCTTCTTTCCCCGATGTGAAGAGTATGCTACAGAAGAAGACAGATTTTTTTAAGGAATGAGAAGCTGGAAAACAAAAAAACTGATTTTGTAACATGGTCTTTTGATTGATTGATATTTTGCAAAAAACCTGTAAAATATGATTAAAGAATGCTGTTCTTACAAATTATTTCTTGTACTTTTAACCCTAAACACATCTGCTACTATAATACTGGCTATGTCAAATTTTATATATGTACAATTTACAACATACCATAATTAGCGTATGTTTTTACACACTACTTTTATATACCATGTGTTGAGAAGGGTGGTTTACTATCCCCCTAAATATAAATAAATCAGTTCAAAGGCAAGCACAGACCTGTGATTGCTCATGTTAAAGGGTAATATTTATTTTGTAAAATAACGCCAGTAAACATTCATGCCCAGATAGCCTCATGTATAGCCTAATTCGTGTTTAAAGATAGAGGATCACGGTGATACAAATACGTTTGATGCGAGAAAGGAGGTTTAGGTTCATGTAGGCCTAGTACATGGGTGACGGTTTCAACCGCCCGTGTTATATCCCCGCGACCTGTCAAGTTGTATGCAGTCAGTCGGTTTCAAATCATTGTCTTATAGTATTCTGGTTTGAAGCTACTGAATTATTAATGAACTGAGCAGCTGTCCGGGGCTTGCCAGACAGTAATAGTTAACTCTGATAACAAGCTACTATTGAAATCGACCTTGATCGCTGCTAATCAAATAAATGTCGCTTTGACTAGCGCTATATACATTTTAATGTGTTTTTGCTTTTGGTTTTATTCAATATTTTTACAAGACTCCCACAGATTTAGCTTGTAACAAGCGACGTATTTCTCTGTGATTGATTAGGATGACTTGACAGAGATGTGAACCTCCCATTGATTGATCTCACTACACTCCCCACTGACCAGAGAAAACACTTGATAGCGAATGCGAGAGGGGATTTAAATTGTACAAATATGGTTCATTTCTTTTGAAGGATCGGATAGCTATCTGTTTTTTTCTACGTAGTTTAAGGCAATCCGTGAAGAGCACTGTTTAACGACTTGCCTCACATCGATACGCTACGACATTAGCTAGATCGTAATGTCGGTACTATTGGACTAGTTTTCCCCCCTGGACCCCGCTTCCTGTTAGCCTTGGGCTAGCTAGAAAATCGAAATTATACTAATGAACTAGCAGGTATAGTTAGATAATGCAAATAGGTGTAGCTTTACTACTTATAATAGGCTACCCGTTGCAGTTTACTTGTGCATTAGTCTATGCTAATAACTCAGTTTTACAGCCCGCTATCAGCTGGTTTCCTTTAGTTTGCTAACGCTCGACAGCTAGCCATTGTGTGGAGAGATTTAAGTATTTAACTTGGCTAGCTTTTGGTGGTAGGGAGCAACCGATAATAACTTCAGATTCAGTTGCCTCTTAATATATCAGTCGGCAATGGGTTCACTTGTATGAGACCCAGGTGCGTTCGACTGATTCGTACAAAAATAGTTTGCCGTGGGAAAGCGTGACAATCCTAAACAGTGTGAAAGACAACAGAGAACCTGCTCAGCTGTTCTGGTAACGACGAAAACAGCTGATAACTAACTTAAAGAGAATTGAATTGTCGTTTTATTCTACGCATGCTGATATAACTACAATATTTAAATACTTATGTACGTTCATTAGTCCTAAAATAAGCGGTTTCAGTCAAGTTGACTAGTTAGGGGGCTAGTGGATGGACTCGATGTAGATGGGGCTTGTGCGACGTACGAGGACTGCTTTCATGAACCCGCTGCTACCAGGTATGAGCTCATCATATTAAACAAAAGCCTTAAATGCCTCAGAACACTCTGTCGGTAACCGGTCGTCATCAGAGGTAACTGGGTGGATATAGAGCCCCGGTGAAGCGGTCTGAAGAGGGAGGCTCCTGCCCGTTCTGGACATTCCTCTCCCCAGCCTACCTCCTTCGCATCCATTCACCACCGCCCTCCCCCTCACCAGCCATGGACCCCCCGAGGACTCGATCGCGGTCTCGGTCTGGTTTCTATCATTTCGGCATGAACGGCAGTGTTGGTAACAACGGCAGTGGTAACGCGGTCGGTAACGGAAGCTTGATGAACGCCAGCGGAGGAGGGGTGAGCTACCCGCAGCAGAGCAACCCCGGCTGGGCTCCTCACCATGGTGGTCGTAGCTACCCTGAGAACCAGCAGCACATCCAGGGTAGCTACCTGCCCGCTGGGGCGCAGCGCCACTCTTCGCATGGAGCTCACAGACACCCCGGGGCCGGTAAGCAGACTTCAGTAAACAGGGCCTGCAGCCAGGCTACATGCATCATTACACGCACACTCACAGGATACACCCCCCTGAGGGATGCAAGCAGACCACTAGCGGCTTTAACAGGTTTTGAGACATTTAACTAAAAGGCCTTGTACTTTCAATGCCAGCTGTTGCTTGAAAGGCCAGCTATATGTCATGTCAGATGATGTAGTAGAAGCCACGCTTTAGAGGTTTGAATAACATTTACTCAGGTAAATAGAGCAAGTCAGGTTCCTGCACCATCTTTTATGTCCTTGCCTGGCTTTGTATTCACAGTGCAAATTATCTTGGACCTCATTAGAATTTTCCTTCAGTAGTCTAGGCATGGTGCTGCTGAAGGCCAGGTCATATTATGTTACTCCTGTGCAGATTATAGACAGATGTTTGGCCTTTCTACACACTCATCTTTGCAAAACCTTTGTACTAGGGAAGGCTTTTTTAATAGCAGGTTGCCTTGAAATTGTTTGAAATTAAAGCTGTCTTGATAGTAACTTTATGTTTTTGTTTGAGGTTAATCTGCAGAGTGATATAGTACAGTCTCCCTTGTGTTTTACCAACAGTTTTTTCATCCAGAAGCTTGAATTCAAGTTAAAATGTATCATATTTAAAGCTCCATATTATTTCCAAATAGTCAAACTGATTTCTCATCTGGTGCTTTGGTTTAGAATAAAGATGGATTCTATGCACAGCTGCTGTAGCAATGGTCCCTTACTCAACCCAGACCCTAAGAAGACAGAGAAAACCTCTTATGAATAAGACAAGGAAACAAATGACTTTGAACTGCACCCTAGCATCCTTTCACTATTTTCAATATTGACGCCGGTTCAGTTTTCAACACGTTTCCATAGCTGACTGCTGCTAAGTGACAGAAAAACCTTCTGTAATACCAGATTGGGTTTCCTCAAAAGCAAAAAAACAGTCCAGTCAGTGAATGAAAGCAGGCTTTAATGGCCCTCTGTCGTAATAGCAGCACTGTTGCCAAAAACCCAAAATAACCCACAAAGAGGGGACACACAAACTCATGACTGAGAGAGAGAGAGTGGTTGGCACAAGTGACTTAAACAGTGCAGCTGCTCATGGCCTCTTTCTTATTGGTATGACATGTTCTCTTGTGTGTGTTTAAGTGTGTTACAGATTTCCTGTCTGTCTGTGCTTGTTTGTTTTTGTACATGTAACTATATTTCCTCTCTCTATCACTTGAAGCAGGGTTGGGTTTAGAGGTGTTATAAATGTGCTCCCATCTTACCTCTGTTTTCTCTCCTCTTTCAGGCATGTTATCACTGTGTAGTTTTAATAGCAAGCCTTGCATTCTACAGCTTGTCAGCAGAGCAACATAGCAGCTAGCTTTTGCAGATCTTCATTAATGCTGTCATTAAATGAGACCTAAATAATGATTGTTTATAATCTCAATTAAAGAACAAGAGTAATTTGCTACTCGATGACAGCCGGTACTCCAACTTTTCCATCTCACTTCACTGGATTGCTGTTCATGAAAGAAATGGTGTCAGTCTTCCCCAGCAACCATGTTCAGAGGAAACAAGGTCATGTGTGCTTGCCAGCAGAAACCATTCAGTGTGGCTCACCACCTCTTCTATGGCTCCTAGGTGAATCAGCATTAGCAGACCTAGTTCTGCATAAAACACAAGGCGGCAGAGGTCCAGGAGCCCATGAGGTCTGAAGAACAAGGGATGGTAGATGAATAAAGATGTAGCCCTACAGTTGGCTAGTCACTCATCTGACTGCCCCTCTGTTCTCTGCAGCCACTAGCACGGCGTCTTTGAGCTGTCACTATCGGCACACTTCACATGGCTCTGGAGTGGCATCGCAAAGACAAGAAAGGGGTGGGGGGTGCTTTCAGATCTGTTGTTTCTTAGGAGGCTGAAAGGGCTATTTGGATGAGGAAGAGATAGAGGGAGAAAGAGAGTCCCCTCCCCCTTTTTTGGTGATTAAAGGTTTTTGGGAAACTGCTTAGAGGAAACTCCTGTCAGCTGAGTTCAAGGGCATCCTTCTTTTTAAGCTGCTGATACGTCTGTGTGCACATGCTGCATCCAGATTGCACATGTGGCCCCGTAGATAAACAGCTGGGAGTGTTGTGTTTTTCTGAGATAATGTTTGTGGAAGAAATGCTTTATTCTGTAATGTGATTTTTCTCTTTTAGTATTTCATTTTTTGGATGGACTAATCTCATTTCATTAAGAAGTCTTTGCTTTTTTTGTAAGGATCTATTGATCTTTGGAGAGAGATTTTTATCAATTTTCTCCATCACAAGTAAAAAAAAAAAAAAAAGGGACCGATGCTAAGCTGTTGTTGCAGAGCTAATAATGGTTCACTGCCTTGCTCAGGGACCCTTCAGTATAGCAGATGTTTGCCAACACTAAGACTTAAATCCAGGCTTTGTGGTAATAGTTGGTTTCCTTAGGTTATATTATGTGGGATCCTGCCAGGACTGCAACTAGAGATTTTCATTACTGATTAAAGTGTTGATAATCCTTTTTGTTAACAGATTCATCCTTTTAGTTAATAAAATGTCCATAATAAAATGAATAAAAGTATTTAGTTTAAAATACTCTAAAACTGAGAAAAACAGCAAATCTTGACATGTGAGAAGGTGAAACCAGTTATCAGATTTGTTGCAGGAAGATTTTTTTTCAGTCAATAAATGAATTAATCATTTCACCTTTAGCGTCCACATTATAATAATGTGAAGACAAGTGACAGTGGCTGTGAGGTGATGACTAGGAACAAAAGTCATTATCTGGATTCAACCAGTGTAACTTGTGCCTTAGCTTGCAAAACCAGCCGGGTGGATATCTGTGTGTCCGTTTCTCTAAGTGTGTGTGAGCTTTTCATGTTAGTTTGTAAAACATTTTAAATGAATCAACCGAGCTACATCAAGATAACATTTTTTTGGCTTCCATGTGGTCTTTGAATGCAAAATAAAACCACAGGCTAACAGCAGCCTGTGTCTTGTTTCTGTTGGCTTCTCAAGTGTATGTCCATGCATGTTGTGATGTTGATGTTTCTCTCAGCCTTATCTCATCTAATTATGTTTTTTCCTTCTCCTGTGGCCTGCAGGTGCTGTGCTACATTTTCATCCAGATAATGTGTGCAATGAGGATCGAGACAAAGTAAGTATGAAGCTGGCCTGTTGCCTTTTGATGTGCTCCTGTTTTGTAGTACTGTACGCCACCATTTTCTCCTCCTTTTGCTTTTGTTCTTGAATAACTTTTCCCTGGGTTTCTCCTCCTCGTTCACATCTCTGTGCAGATGGAAGACAGCCCAAGCCCGAAAAGGCAGCGCCTTTCTCAGCAGTCTATGTTGGATCTGAGCTCCGCCCCTCCCTCTACTCCTGCCTCTCCTATTCGGCCCTGGGAGCTGCCCCCCAACCGCAGACAACACCCCCACTACATGCCAGAGAGATGCCACACGCCTGTTCGCAATCGTCGCAGGTGTGTACTGTATGTCTTCATTATTCATCTGGTAATTTTTCAGCCTGTAAAATGTCAAAATGAAAAATAATTAAAAATACACATCACAAATTACACAAGTGCAGCTATGGACTATTTGTCGAACAAAGTGACACCAGAAGACGTTGGGCTTCAGGCAATTCTGACTGGCCTTTTTCACTCTTTTCTGACATTTTATCAAGAAAATAATTGTAAGATTAATCAGTAATGGAAATATTCATTAGTAGCAGTCCTATACAGAGTAAACTTGCAAGTATAGCTCCTTCTGCCTCTTCTTTAGTTTTCCCCTCTTTCTTCCACCTCAGCCCTCCAATGAGACGCCAGCGTGGCCGGAGAGACCGCCTGACCCGCCACCACCACCACCACTACAATGGCAACAACCACCACCATCCCCCCAATACACACCATCATCACCTCCACTCCCACCATGGCCTGTCACCAGGCCACCAGGATGAGAACTACCGTCACTCAGCTCCTCCTCAGGGCTACCCACCCTACAGCCAGCAACCTCCCCGGGGGCCAGGACCTGGGCCAGAGGAGCGTCCAGGTTACCATCCTCCAAACCCCTCCCCAAGGCCCCTTCACCACTCACCCAACCTGTCTCCCAGACTGCTGCACCCTGCAGCCCATCCGCAGCACCCACACCCCCACCCATCCCAGCAACAGAGCAGTGTCATGCTGGACCTCCATGAGCAGGTCAGTTTAAGAAATGATGTGGTCTTGCTGGTTGGGTGTGTCTAGGAAAAAGAAAATCCACACATACATTTGCGAAAGGAATGGAATTACTTATTAATGTCTTGAAACTGAGAAACTTGCTATTTATGACTGACTGTAATTAACAAAGGTAGCTGTTGTCTTGTGCGTTCTTGTCTCCTCATGCTGCACGAGAGTGACTCACACAATTAAACAACACTTCTTCTGAAATCAATGCAAAGTGAAAATTAAAATCAGCTACTCATGGGTACTTAACTTATTTGCAGTTGATGACAGAGTATGACTAATATGCATGGATTATTGTATATAATGAAGCATCATATTCAACATTTAACAATTTTTTAAATTCTGTGTTGCACTATGTGTGCATTTCTACAAATAGAGTGAAGCTCATTACATGACTAATAGGTGGGAATCCTACATTAGTAGATAAACTGAACAGTTGGTCATAGGACTAATTTTAATCATGGGTTCTTTGCAGGGGTAAAGGTGGGTTGAGATATTGACCATAGTCCATTAAATGTCACAAATGAGTGCCAGTTACAACATGATAAGGAATTGCACTTCTATGCCCAATACTACTGTAACTTCAAAACATATTTTGCATTTTACTTGACTTGACTTGATAATCAGGCTGAAGACAGTTTAGTTACATTTCTCAATAAATAAATGAATAAATGGTGCAGGCAGACATGACATTTGTACCCAAGATGCATCCGTTCATCATGAGCATATTTTATCATCTCAGAACATGACTGTATTTTTTGGGAGACCACACATCTGTGGTTTTTGCATAAGATATTGAGGCACTTTATTTGTTGTATACATTTTGTCCATATTTAGGGTTCAGCTCCAGTATCATATCCTGTCTCCCCTCCTGGAGCGCCACCCGGCCTTCCGCCTCGCTCTGCCCCTCAGCCGATCCCAGCATGCTCAGTGGTCTTCAGTGGACAGCACTATCCTGTCTGCAGTGTCCCTCCTCCTGTGAGTGTGTTTGTCTTTCTGTACCTGTTTTCACATTTTACAGTTGCACATTTGCATAAACTGATGACTTTTCCTTATTTGATACTGTTTGCCAAATGCCTTACTTAAATAAATCTTAATGCTTCTTTTTTCTCCCTGCCAGGTCCTTCAGACTTGTTCTGTGCAGCACTTACCCATGCCTTACCCATTCCCATCACTGCTGTCCAGTGACCCAGCCTTCCTGCTTCCCCCTCCTCACCTGACACATCCCCCAGCACACCTTTCCCATCACCCACCTCACCTGCCCCAGCCTGGACAGTTTGGACCCTATCCAACACAGCAAGCCCGATCGGTGAGTAGAAATGCATATGTTGTGTTGTGATGACTGTGCATCAACATCGTAGTGATTTGTCAGCAGACTCGGTTTGTGAATATTGTAGAGATTGGCATTTTCTTTTTAAAGTCTGAATTCTAAGATTTGATCATCACTTGTTTATATGATGTCTGATTTGCTGTGCATTTCTAAGAAATCACATTTGCCTTTTGTGTGGTTTTGATATTAATATCAACTGCTAATAGAAATAGCTGCACAAGACTGACAGAGAATACAAAGCAATGCTGTGAAAATTGACATTTTTATATTTTAATGCCATTGACAAATGAGTATTTTGTGCATGAACAAATTACAAAAGTTAGATTTTTGATTTCTTGATTTAATGTTTATAAAAGGTGCTGCTTCTCCTGTTGCTGTGATTACATGAGTCAGCCAAAGCATGTTTCTCGTTTGCTTTCCAAGCCGTTACAAAGGATAGAGAATGATGTTGAGCTGCTCGGAGAGCACCTCTCTTTGGGTGCGGGGCTCCACTATCCTCCTGCCACCCACCCTGCCCTCACCCCACACTCCACACAGCTTCACTTCCTCTCCCATGACCCCCTGCCACAGGAGTTCTTCGGCGTGGTGAGCAATTTCATAAAGTTGATAAAATGTGTATATATATATATGTTTTCAACTTTCTGTGTGCAGGGGAAAATTTGAAATGGAGATTGTTTAAATGATCTTACATGTTCGTGATGTCACGTTCTTCCTAGTCCTATCCAAACTTTATTCCTCGGCGTCTACCAGGGCGACGGTACCGCTCGCAACAGCCACTGCCACCTTCACCTTACCACCCAAGCCTCCTGCCTTACTTCCTGTAAGTAGATCAGTACATCAACTAAGATAAGAGAGTTAAGAAGAAAAGGTTATATTTCTCATTTGTATTAGCTGCACACACACACGGTTGGGAAATCAAAGGAAAAACCCGAATAAACAAGTGGAGAAATTAACGAATGCAGATGTGGTTTGGGTCCACTTGTCCCCTTAGCACTTGTTGGCCCAACACCTTATTAAGACATTTATGTTGGTTTTTGCTTACTTGGCATTTATTTTAAAAATATGCACCCAATTACAGAGTGTAGATTATGCTTCAGATAAAACATTCAGAACAGAAAAGGAAATCCCCAACCAAATCCAGAAGTCCTAATGAAAAGCTGTCATTTAATGAAGACATGTCACTAAGTTGATATTTGGTATTTTCAGAGATTTATTTTGATTAGTTAAACCTGGAGAAGGTGAAAGAAGATCGCTGGAATAGATTCATTTTTAAAAACACAAAGTATGATCAGATCATTTTATTTTGTTGAAATATTCAGTAATGGAAGTTTTACATGAGGCTTTAGTGAAATCTGGAAAAGAGAGGTAAAGGTTGTGACAACACACAGGCTAAAGCATTAGGTAAAGGGAACGGGTTAAACATTTCCTGAGCCCTCAACATACAAATCATTAAAATATTTCTCATGCAGTTTTAGCTCCAACAAAAGGCAGCTTTAGTATTGTTAATAACCTGGACTTTTAACTCTTCGACTTGGTTACGAATGCTATCAGAGCTTTTGTTTGTGTAGTCCTGTGAGACAATCTCTTTGTTAAATCTCTCCCTCTGTAGTTCAATGCTGCCAGTCCAGCCCACAGGTCCTGCGATCAGTCTAGAGCTGGATGTAGATGATGGAGAAGTGGAAAATTATGAGGTTCTTATTTATATGTTTATTTTTTTTTTGTCTGTATGTTTGCTGGTTGCAGACTCTGACATTTGTGTTGTTGCTCATGTCTTCTCCCACAGGCCCTCTTAAACCTCGCTGAGCGTCTGGGAGAGGCCAAACTCCGAGGTCTGACCAAGGGAGACATCGAACAGCTTCCTTCCTATCGGTTCAATCCAAATAACCATCAGTCTGAACAAACACTGTGAGTGTCACCCTTTTATGACACCAGGTCATCACCTGTTCATAAGGTGAACTATTGTTAATGACATTTTCTGTTTGTTCCTCAGTATCACAATAACATTTTGGTGGATTTACTGTTTTACTAACAGAAGCTAATGTGTACGGGGTACAAATTTACTGTCCTAGCCACTTCAGAATTGCTGCCCCCAGCCAGTGCTGTGGTGCAGTCAATTGACAGAGTAGTGGTTTTTCAAGCTACAAATGGCTAAAACAATTTCAAAGCATGTAGTAAAGAAAAAAAAAAACAAACTCGTCACCCATAATTTTTGTCTTTTGGAATTAGGCATTATGAGAAAAATGTCCTCAATTCTTTGTGCCCACATTTCTCAAAGTTTACAATCAAAAAGCACATGAGGCTTTCTGACAGATGGGGTATGAATGCTAGTGGGAGGAGATGGTTTCAGTGCTCTCACAGCAGAACTTATGTCAACAGACATGGACTCTTTAAAAATATTTTTCACAAGACACTAGTCTTGTAACTGGCCAACCTAGATTTGCTTTGATGGCCTATGCTAAACAACAGGATTCTTGTGCTGCTGTTGTCTGCACGATCATATCTGCGTTGCAGGTGTGTGGTGTGTATGAGTGATTTTGAGTCCCGCCAGCTGCTGCGAGTCCTGCCCTGCAGCCATGAGTTTCATGGGAAGTGTGTTGACAAGTGGCTGAGGGTAAGTGCTTCATCAGTGGATCAAGCTCTCTCACACCTTGTCCATGTAGTACAGTACATGCATATCAACTCTGAACTTCATCTGAAGTTTATCACACACTGTTTGGCAGACGGCTCAAGTCAAAGTGTAAGTCTAATTTTTGGTAAGTGATCAGGCAGTGCTCTTTGCTTTAACAGTGACTTACCTGGAAAAAACACGGTTTTATTTAAAGACACAACTACACATTAAGGACATGACACAGGATTTATAGTGAAAATGGAACTCATCAAGAAATCTTTTAGATAACAGAAACTAATTTGTGTCTAGATCTTCCCACATTCAGTTCTCATCAAAGGTTAGGAAAATCTGTTTCTCATACTAAAGTTCCAGAACAGGAATATCAGGCAAAGCTGTACATGCACCTCAATAGCACCATAAGGCATTGCTCAAATTGTCTGTGAGCTGGATTATAAGGATTACAAATCGATACAAAATAAATAAAAAATGGTAATTGTCTGATTTTAAATGGAGTGCTGTGGCAAGTGTACTTAATGTACATTTGAGGGGTTTGGGATTTTTTTGTGGTTTATATTTGAAACTCTAGCCTGTGTGTAAAACCCACTGACTGTATATAAAAGCTGGACAAACCCACTGTGACATCACCCGCTGGTTTTCTGAACAGCAATGTTGAAATTCAAGTCTAGCCTTTGTCATAATGGTAGCGCTTCACTCTGATCCAGAAATAGGCAAAGAGCTGGAGCTTGCTAGACAGAGAGCAGTTAGCCACCTATGCTGAGACCCTTCCACCTGTCACTCAAAGCGGCCACACCCTTAATTTTGTTGCACTTTTATTCTCAATAGAATTGAAATGGGTAAGTTATACAAAAATTCACCCCCAGTACAGTTGTAATGGGAGAGTAAATTATCTTTATAGAGACCAAAACTGTCTTTTTGTACCAGGCTATATAAACATGCTTATTTCTGCTCTAAAGATGGGCAATTTAACATGAGAGACTGTGGGGATTGACTGCCTTTTTGGAGCCTCAAGTGGCCGGTCGAGGAACTGCAGGCTTTAATGCTTCAGCACTGGCTTAATTTCTCAGCCTCTGAGGCGGCCACTTGGTAAAACCTAATTTGTTTTTTTCCTCCATCTGTCTCCAGGCCAACCGTACATGTCCCATTTGTCGGGCTGATGCCTCAGAGGTCCAAAGAGACTCAGAGTGACCACACGAGGGAGCCAGACACTCCTTATTGTCTGTCAGACATGTTCAGCACTGCCTGCTCCTGATATATTGATACACATGTGCATGCATGTGTACACACACATACCATTTCCTGACCTTTTTGTGCAGCACTTCCTATTTGTTTTTTGTCCTTTCATCAGATTCTTTCCTCCCCACTTATTTTACTCTCTGCCATTTTCCCTTCTATCAGTCTTTCCTGTTCATGTTAATATAAGCTACTATGTTTTGGGGCTAACAACATCATGCCTGACCCAGTATCCTGCAATGATGTGTGTGTACACATGCATGCACAACAATTGTGCAAGTGTTGTTTGGTCAGCCCTTTAATGCGGGGCTTTGGTACGTGTGTGTGTGTGTGTGTGTGTGTGTGTGTGTGTGAGAGAGAGAGAGTGAGTGAGAGAGAGAGAGAGAGAGAGTTTTAGATGTCCTGGAGCATGCCTGAGTTTCTGCTGCGTATCGGACAAGAGTAACGACATCTGAGAGTTTTCTGCTCTCATGAGCGACTCACTTTACTTCCTGTTTGTATGTGTATGCACTGTCTGCCTGTATGCATACTCTGTGTAAGTATGTTTTGACTTTAGTCCCTTTCTCTAGTTTGACACTAAGGGTCCATGCTGCCACTATACTTCTCGGTTGCCTATTTGATCAGTTTGTTTTAGTTGTTATTGATTATACTTATTGTTGTAATTATTATTATTATTAATATCATTATTCAATCATTTTAACACAGTGACTGTTTTCCTGCCTGCGGTTACATCACCATTCCGGTTTTGGTCATCTTTCAATATAAGCACTTCACAGCACTACTTTAAAAGCACAGTATTTTTCTTTTTCTTTGTTTCCTAGGCAAAAATAAGTTTGTCTGTGACTTTGCAGTGGCACATGTGTTGCATATATACAAATATCTATATATACTGTATAAATTTATGAATCTGTATACCAAATAAAAGGCTTCATATGAACTTTTTAAACTTTAACATTTTATATATATTTCTTTCTTACTTTTTTTTTTTTTTTTTTAACTGAGTCAGGGTTGATTGTACTGGATTTCTCTGTTAGATTTAAAGTGGTGTTATTATTAAAATGACTGCAGATTGCTGCTTTGGGTGGTTCCATCTGTTTAGGTTTTGAGGTAGCGCATTAGCTTCACGTTGCCACTAGGTGGTGCTCTTTTACCATCACTCCACCTTCTGTCTGTTGTGGTACACGCAGTATGTATTGGTTTTCGTAGTACATACTCTGGTTTACCGGATAGACGTGGTTTTACACAAAAATACAGTTGGTGTATAAATCTGGGGACTCCTCATTGGGTGAGACAGTCTTTACCCTAAACAGTAGCCTTCACTTGTGTAGCCCTAAATTTATAATGTGTTGGGTTGCTTCACTCACTCTGGGTTGTGGTTATAGTGTGGGGTTCCTGTTGAAACTCAACTCCCAACTCAGTTGTTGGGCCTGTTATTGTTCTTCATACTCTTAACAGTTCTTCCTAAAATAAGGCTAGTGGGGAGCAGAAGTTACTCTCAGGAAATGTTTGGGAATGAGCACATTAAATATTACACACACAAACAGTGGTGATAGTTACTAGAGTTGTACTGAGCAGCTTTAATTCTGCAGCAGTCCAAAACAAGAAAACTGAGTTATTCCAACAAAAAATACAACACAGTAAATTGAGTAAAGATAAACCAAGACATAATCAGTGCAGTGACTGTGGTTAGGATTGTATTAGAGTCTGAAACATGGAGAACCAACAAACAAGGTATTGGAACCAATTATCTAACAAATTAATTGGACAACTTAAGTTTTGTTAGTGAAATTCTCCTTAACTTAAAGTTTACAATATTATTTAAATAAATGTCCACACAAAGTTGGTATCCGTTTCCTCGTTGTTGTACGCATCTGTTTCCCTGGATGTACACAGCTGTTTACCGGTTGCCACACACCTTTTGTGACTGCATCTGTTGATTAACAGAACAGAAATCGTGTTAATGTACATACCAACACAGTATCTACATGCAGACATGACCTCTAGACTTTGCAGCACAAATGACCAAAGTTTTTAAAGCAGTGTGCATGAAGCTTCTTGAAGCCAGAAAATGCAAATATCGGGTACAGTACCAAATAATATACACACTCGCTACAATTGCATGCAGTTCATTGCAGCACTTCCGCCTTAACATCTGTGTTTATGAAGCTCAAAGGTGTTTGGTTTTGGTGAAATTGTCATAAATGTGTCAATTCAATTTTATGTTTATTAGTGAGGTCATAGTTGAAGGTGGTGTTGTACTGGACTACATTATATTTAGAGGTGTCTATGTTTTTGTCCTCTCAGCTACATACATGAGAGGGTCAGAATATTAGGAACACCTCTGAATATATTGTAGCCCAGTACAACAATATGGCCTCAGTAGTGTAAATTAGATTCCTTTGAATCCGAGATCTAACTACAGCCTATTATTCACCTTTGTCTTGTTGAAAAAAAAAAAAAAAAAAAAAAAACATTGTCAAAACACATACACTGAATCGGGTTTATTCCCTCTAAAGCTTATAAAACAGGTCTGATATTTTCGAGAGACGAATATGATGTATATATTATCTTTAACTTTGTCCAACTTTTTGCTTACCCTCTCTTTTTTTTAAAATTCATTTTCATCTATTCCTTTTTTGCTTCAACCCCGAAGCCCCTTTTTTTCATTTTTTCCCCACCTTCAACTCTAGCACTTCCCCTATTTACCCTTGTTTATCTCCCTTCTGTCCTATGCTTCAATACCTTTGCTCTTTTCATGTAGCGTCTCCTGTTTGTCTTCTTTCTTTTGGTTCTCTACTGTCTCAGCAGTCTGTTCTTCCTTATCTCATGTCTTTTTGCTTATGCATCTTCTCTTCCACCCTCCTGTCTTCTCTCTTTGCCTCTGATGTGATCACCACCCACTACTGTAACCTACTTCCTCTGCAGAGCAATGAAGTGGAAGTGGTAGGGCTTTTCTGCCTAAAACTATCTGCTGAGATGCTCAACTCGGGGAACAAACAGTATCTATCTTGTCTGGTTCTCTCCCATGTCCTGCATGAGGCCAGAAGGTGTTCAGTTTTAATCATTTTAACACTGGGTTTTACTAGATATTATTGTCATATACAATAACACAGTTTGATAAGGAATCTTAAGATCACCATGTTCACTTTTACAGCCTGACCGCAGGGCAAGATCTACACACTATTGTCACATTTTTGCATGTATTTGTTCTTATAACTTTTTCTCACTGTAAAGCTGTAACTGCCCCAGAGGGGTCCCACTACTGTCGCCCCCTTCCTATTTGTCTGTACTCTGATCACTTGTGTGTGTGTCTGGCTGCCAGGTCCTCAAACTGAACTGGGACTGGTGGCTTGTTCCAGTTAGCTTGTCCTACAGTGACTGGGAAGCAGAGGATGTTCATCCAAGTCTGTCAGCCTCAAACAACAATTCTTTAACGGACACACCAGTATTGCAGTGATTCCACTCCCTTTTTTTCTGAAAACAAAAATTGTTTTCCTTCTGTCCTGACTCTGATGCTAAAATAAAGAGAGGAGAAGCTTTTACACTTGTGCCATCTCTGCTCCCCTCCCCCTGGCTGCCCACATTTTTATGTGCAAATGCAAGACTGTGTGTGTTGTGCAGACTGTTTCAAACTGACAGGGTACATGGATTCTCCATCCTGCTTGTTTATAGAGAGACCACCAAGCTCTGCTTTACTTATATTCACACACATGCTATCAAAGGCATGTACACACTTGCACACACTATCTTCCTTTCTAACTTTTAAAATAAATATTTTTCATTATTCATACTCAGCAATGTGAGAGTTAAATGCTTTGTGTCAGCAGGGCAGGTTGTTTCCTGCCTATCTTCCCAAGTGAAATGTGTAATATTTATTTCATAGGGCTTTCCCCCTCTGCGCACTGGGTGGCTGCTGGCCATGTCATCGTGTTCTGAGCTGTCAAAAGCCATCACTGTGACAAGTGGGAGGTGTGTGTGTGTGTGTGTGAGAGAGAGAGGGACAAGACAAAGTGAGAGACGGGCAGAATTGGGTTGTGTGTGGATTCATGAAGAGGAGAGAGTGACATACTGGGGACCTTAGTGGGAACAGTTGTGTCAGTTGATGACATTTGATACACATTTAGTCAGAGAAGAGAAGTGGTCTTGTGTTTGTGATGTACAGTATATGGACAACAGGCCCCTACAGTTGTCTAAACAGTCTGCTGGATAGTTCATCTCCAGAGAGCTGCTGTGAGACATGTAGAAGTCACTGAAGTCACTTTTGAGACTCTGTCATCACTGTACACTGGCCTTTATGGTATACAAATTATATTAACTTAAGAGTTTCAGTGGTGTACAGATGACCAAAAATGTTCAACTTTTGTGTGTTGCAGTCTGCTAATATTGTCCCTAACGACTCCAAAAAAATGACATCTGACTTATAATAATGGGGTCTTATAAGTCAACAAAGTTTTATCTCTAAAACTAGAGCTCCGATCGGACAGTGAACAAAAACAACTTTTCTCTGCAAAACTCTCGGTGTTAAAAAGTCTAAAACTTCTAAATAGTTCTCACATAGAGGTATAAAAACTCCTGCACTCATATTTGCATACATGTATCCATGCATGCACACACATGACGCACAAACAGACAAGCACAGACACATAAAATATACTTTTAGTGCAGCAGTGGATGTGACTGACTTTTATTTTGATTTAGGTGATATCTGTCATTTCTAAATCTAGTTGTTCCCTGGTCTTTCTTTTTTGTTTTTGATTTAAAGCCTCCATGATTACGGTGTTAGATCACTTCTCTGCTGATCTGATATTATTTAAGAGGCTGAAAAACAGATTTGATGCCAAATGATTCGATGATTGTCTTGGCCATTTTTGCTGCTGCTGCCCTTGTTGTGGGTTTTATGTCTGCCCAATCCACTCTGTCAAATCAGGCTACAAAACCACTATTTATTGCTGTGCTTAAGTGATGGTTCCAAGGCAAAGTTTGGTGCAATGAAAATGGAAAAATATTTGTTTCTTTCTCATGGAGGGTTGGCAAACAGGTCAAAGTAGCAAATGAGCCAATATGTCTCACATAAGTTACCACCTGATGGTGATATTGGCTGCGGTCTGAGGTCTAACAGAGATCTGTGAGGTCCTGGTTGTTTTGGTGGAACAGAGGGAGCGAGGCATACTGCTGTTTTGTACTGTCTGTTGCATTAAACACACAGAAAGCTCAGAGCCAGAGAGTCCAAAATGGAGGAAGCTATGTGGCACATTTAGAATCCAAGCTTAAAAATATGAAGTGGAAATGCTTTTGAGCCATTTAAATCCACTCATCTTCTATTTAATACACTTAACTACGAGTGAGTCTAATGGATCCACCTATACACACAGTCTAGTGCTGAGTGGGCACAAGTCGGATCAAGAGAGAAGACCATATTAAACTTCATTATTCATGAGTCTTCGTATTCATGTGAGTGCAGCTGGAAATGTTAAGATAAGTGTAAAGCTGCATCTTCTGGATAGACGCCATTACACACACACAGGGATTTGTATCCATAGTGTACTTTTTTTCCAGACCTACGAGTTCCCTGAGAGCTGTAGTATGAGTAAACACTGGGCCCTGGGCACTGGCCTAATGGAGGGATTAAGACAATTACATTATAAGAAGAAACCAAGGCACTATTACTATTTAAATGTCTTCAGCCTTCATCATAACCAACCTTTTTCCCTTCAAAGTCTTCTCTTCATCTAGTTAGCTTGTCTCTGAGCATGGACACTGTGCCACAGGAACATGCTGGATTGTGTAATGCTGCCATATTTCTTCTGCACTATGTGTGGGCTCCATGGCTGTGAGATTGTTGTTACCTCTGGATTATGTGCAGTGCTGAATCTCCTTGACCCTCAGTAAGGAGCGTCACCAAAAGTTATGCACCCTCTGATGGTTTCCAATATGAATGGTTAGAGTAACAGATAAGGACAGTGTACATACTGTGTACTGTATGAAATGTTGAAACAGAGAAGATATTTGTTCACTTCCTACACTTTCAAATGATTTGGGAGCAGACCTCAGGATCTCCAAGAAAACCTTCTTCTTTTTTAATACAACCAAGAGCCAGATCAAGCAAGATACGGGACAACAGTAGGGACACTCAGAAGCAGTTTGGAGCCATGGTCTGACGCTACGGACAGTGAAAGGGGGAGAAGGCACATGAATGGAGCAAAGGGACAGGGAGTGAGAGCTAGAGGAGACAAATAAGGACCTAAGGCAATCACTGATTTGTGGAACAAGCAGCAACAGGAAGATGAGAAAGACCTAAAAATAAATGATGAGTTGCATCCATCACTACACATCTGGGAGGTTCCATCGTACTGATTATGCCCCATTGGAGCAGGACAGTGACCACCTGTGACAGACTACCAGTCTGAATTTAGAAAGCACCATCTTATACTCTCATTAGAAGACACAAATGTCCCCTAGTTATATGAATTTATGAAAACATTAACGCAGTGGCGAATTGGCCACTTCACCAGGGCACGCTGTCTCTGACTGCACTGCCTGGAGGCAGACAAACACACTGTTAGATGACAGGGAGGAGAGGAATAAACTGAATCCACTCCAGTGATATACAATGCAATGATGCAGCTGTTGTGAGTTTTCTGTGACCACAAGGAGTGTGTGGAGGAGAAGACATTGTGAGTATAGAGAAGATATATTGCTGTAGGAAGTGAACTGATGAATGATTATGCAAACACTTCACCACTACGACAAGTCCCTGAGGTTAAGACTTGAGAGTTTTTTTAATTGGATTTAGGATTAAAGGATCACATTTTAACCCCAGTCTAAGAATATTTCTTCATCTTCCTAAGTATTTTATGTTTTTATATGGATGTTTTACCTTTCAGGAGGCTGCTGTTTCCAGTTTATGCACTTTATGTATTGATATTGCATTCATGTAATATTGGATTGATGGTAACTTTGAGAAAAAATCCTATTTTTAGGAAATCGAGTGTTCACATCACAGTCACAGACAATTCAAGAAGACAGCTGTGTGATTGCAGCATTGGTCCTTTCATCTGTGTATTCCTGATGTAGCACTATTAAATATAAGTTTAGCTCCTGTGAGTGACTGAATTTGGTTGATATGAGACAACTACTGTATATTTATCTTTTTGGGGATTTCTGTAGGAACTGTATAGCCTATTGGGTTACGGTTCTGCAACTCACACACTGTAATTACAACTGACATAAACTGTTTACAAGTTTGAGACTGGTAATTATAGTAACTCTGCTATGATTTGAGTGTGCTATAATAAAACTATAAAGATGTAAGTTGTCCAGAGCACAGAGCAGAGGTATTAATCAAGCACTGTCTGTAAACCTAAATGCAGTTCTGAAAAAAAAAGATCTAATCAAGCACATTCAGTGACAGTTTATGTTACATTACTGCTTAATATAAAAAGCAGGATGCAACAAGATTCACCTTCTTGATTGCATCTAGTTTGCTTTTCTACATCACAGCTCATTAATGTACTAGTGCTTTTTGACAGCAGACATTCAGACTTGACAACATAGAAGCAGAAGCACAGGTAACATTAAGAGTGACCATATTCGACTTACTGTAAGTGTCCGTGACAGTGTGTCAGCATGAACAATACCAGGATCCTGAAAGTGAAACAATTATTTAATCATTATTCATTTTATTATTCATGTTGTTGTCAAAACTTCAATGTATTAATCAGAAAGATTTTTTAAAAAGCAGTTCTTGCTTGCTTGACTATGTTTGTGATAATATGACTACATCTTTCACTTTAATGGATTACTTACTTCCATATCTTACAGTTTATGTCATTAATGCAGTACCACAGTAAAATGAATGGAAATCACTGGCTACCTGGAGGGAAGGTCAGTCTTAAGTTAGGCTTTACAAAATGGACAGCACTCACTCATGTAAAACGTACAAAAATTGTTCTTAATGGGTTAAAACATGAAACCATGTTCATGTGTGTCTGTAAATGCCCTGTTTGTGTTTGTGTGTGTCCAGCTATCAGTCACAGTATGTAAAAAATATGGGAACAAATATTTTACCCTTTAAAAGTGTCCGTGTGTTTGTTGGCTTGGTCTTCAGAGCCTCAGCAGACCCAAAATTGAGCTCTGAGTAGCTCTGATTAAATCTGGCCTCCCTCTGCTCCTCTGCATTGCTTTTAGGATGCAGAGATAATGTTCATTAGGAGAGATGGGTGGGGACTCTGGGAGGCGGATGCTTGCATGTTGCTCAAGTGTGGCTCTAATGGGGGGATGATGGGAAGATAATACAATTTGATTCCATTTGGTACTTGACTAGGGGTTAATTTTATGGAGTGTATGTGCACAAATGTGTGAACTGTAAAATGCCTTGCTTAAATGAGGGAGGAAGTTAGACCAAACTTCAGGTGTTCCAATATTTCCACTTGACTGCACATGTTCGAGGAGTCACACATTGCACAGGGTTTATTCAGATGCTGGTTGCTTTGCTCTCTGATCCAACTCTCAAGAACACTGCATCTGTGAAATGTAAAAGAAATATGCTCATTTGCTTCCTTGAGAGGAGAAGATTGACACCAGTCTCATGTTTAAACAGTGAATATGAATTCAGAACCCGGTTTAGTTTAGCTTAAAGACAGGAAACAATCAGCTTCCCTGCATCTCTAAGTTTGTACAAAAACTGAAGAGAAGCAGTGACTTAGTAGGAGCCTGTGCTCTCAAGTGATCCAACAGAATCATTCATTTCAGCAAAATCCCAAAATGACAAGTGACAAAGCCTTTTAGCAGCTATAGTAATTATAAAGGAAGTCAGATGATGGGAGATCAGTGTTCATCAAGTTAACATCTATTTCTTTTAAGCATGACTCTGATCATGCTCTACCTTTAACAAGTGATTATTATTGTAGCCATTATGATGAAATTCTCACTAAGGCTTATTCATAGAATTGTCACATCATAAATTCAATTTATTTTCCAACCGAGATTTATAACAGTTCTGGAAGGAATAGAAAAATGGTGCCATCCTGCAGTAAGTGGCATCAGGTCAGAAGACACTTCTGTGTGTCAGGGTGCAGACAAATAATGTTGTTTAATTTGGAGGACTTATGAACTCTTGGAGATGAGTGCAGGACGTCATTGCTTCTGAACCAGAAATAGTCTGGCACATACTTTAACTTTATGCTAAACTAGTCTACAGCTGCAGGCTTCAGGCAGGAAAGTGTTATGGATTTTTGTTTTTTTTATATTGAACTCTTGGTAACAAAGTGAAATCATAATTCCCAAACTGATGAACTGTTTCGTCAACAATCTTCTTACCCTTCTCTCAACACAAAGTATATTAACTTGTTTTGTCCAACAGGCTGCTTGACCACATCAGGGGTGTCCATTAAAAAAATGATTGCCTGTTACAGTTAGTCTTGTTAATCTATGTTAAGACACCGATTCTGCAATTTGATTTATCTTGACATAAAACTCTCATAGTCTAGAGAAGAGGCGAAATATATTCAGCTGACTGGCAAGATCATATTTAATTAACAGTTATTGAAGTTTTCCTGGTGTTGTTATTACCACGCCTGCCTTTGTGTTTTGATGAATTGGAGCAATTCATCTGATGAATTACAGTGACACCTCATTTTAGCCATCAGCTTTCAGTGTATGACTACTGCAGTCCATGTTCATATCAGATGCTCACTTTTGTTTTAAACAGATGTTAGTCCCTTGAGTACAGCATTGTCTAACAGCACCACAGTGTTTTTTAGCAAGACAAGCTCTGTTCTGTTGTTCTGCAGTTAAACCTGACCTTTGACCTCATTGGGACCATGGTGGTGGGGAAACAGTGGACAATTGCACCACCGGGATCAGTAGCATTTCATACAGGGGGCTGTCAAGAGCTGATGCTTGCTATATACAAAATGTGATGACCCCCACACCGTAACCATAACCTGCCTTAGTGAAGGAGCAGAGAACTCAAACATCTCACCCCAATGTGATAACAAGGCCTTTGCTGATTTAACAATTTACGACCTTCATTCTCTTGATTTTTATTTCCTCAAAAATGAACAGATTAAGTTTTCTCTTCGTAGTTTTAGCCACAACCCAAAGCTTCCTACTGGCTGCTCCCTTCTGAGCTTCATAAAAGTGCATTTTGATAAACTGAAAGTAAAATTTCAACAAAGAAACTCATTTGATTGGAGACTGGTTTCGGTTGCTGGTGGGTGTTAAATGTCTTCCTTAGGGGGGATTCATGACTTTGATCCCTTCCCGTTGGTTGTCACACGCGTCAAACTGTGTTGATCACCACGGCGGAGAGTGTAAGTGACTGACTGGGGAGCGTCCTGGGCGAGGACCACAGCGCTTAAATCTTTTATCTGAAGAATGGCCGCTTTGGTGATAACTGGATTGGTTTATCCCTACTAGCTCCTGGCCCATATCTCCGGGGAAAACATTGTTTGCATTGCTCAATAAAGACTAAGGGCAACTCTACAGACGGTGTTCGCTGCGCACAATCACAGCTCCAGGACCAGCGGTGGATCCGGTGCGCTCTAGCAGAAAGCTGGGCTCCGTTAACAGTCAGTGCTCCTTTCCATGCCTGCAAGCCTGAGCAACCGGTCGTCATCTGCGGAACCCTTTGGAATGAAACCGCTATAATCCAAACCTGTCTTCCTCTGTTTGTTTCACTCTTTTCTTACTGTACATCAGGAAATATTCTGCATCTGCAAGTTGACGTGTGTCTGACGAACTGGAGGGGAAGACGCAATGGCATCCCCGGTGAAAGCAGCGTTAGCTCTCCTGGTTATCACCATGGCAAGTGAGTAATCCTTTCAAGTCCTCCCGCAACGGGACGGGACCGGACAGGGGGCTTTCACTTTGCGTATGGGGCTTTATTAGGGGCTGGCCACTGTAAAATAGCACAATCTCACGCCATTGAACAGAGTAGGTCTGGAAAAATCTATCCCGAAATCCACGTGCTGTTGAAGACATGTTTAAGCCACCTTATAGACAGGGGATATGGGAAAACAGGCCAGTGCTGAAAGTGTTAAGCAACTTCTGAGGGGCAGTCTGTGGTGCTGAAACGGATCTCACTACTGGAATGGAAGGAATGGCCTCTGTGTGCAGACGGTACATTTGAAGTAATGTGGAGGAATAGCCAAAGTTAATAACATTTCTCAAGTCCTTGTTTTGAGGAGTGTTCAGTACAACTTTTTATGACACCAACTTTCATTTAATTATCTGAAAATGATTTTTTTTTGATGTCCCTAAGTGAAGGGCAGTGTTTCTCTCTTTCTCTTGTTCTTTCATTCTTTTAAACTCTAAAATTAGCATCTTCAATACTATAAACGTGGTCTTTTTTTATGCCTTTTTCAGTATCACCTGTGCTCTGTCTTCAGTTAAAGCATTGCATCGCTGTGGTTCTGTCAGAACAGTTAAACAACTAAATCCAGGCGGCCATTGTGTTGGGATGTATATGTTTCACTCGGTTTCCCGTCAGTTCTTCTGTTCTTTTCACTGTGGCAAACTGTGTCTTACTGCACATCCCAGTTTTTCTTTGACGTAATTTCAGCATGTATTTTCCCAGAATCCTATGCTATAACGTAACTGACATATTACACACACTTTTCTGCCTCATGTCCTTTCTGTCTTTTTCAGTATCAGCTACATGCTGTAGTGAATGTGTTGATGTGTGACACGGCTTTCCCTGATTAGATATTTTGCTAATTAAACACATGCACAATGACTAGGAGTGCAAGTGGGGTCATTTACATGCTATCCTCATTTAGCATGCACAGAATGCCCACACAACCCTGACTCTGCCTTTGTGTAGCCGCTGAGTGAAACTTGTGAGTGGGCAGAAATATGCAGAACTACATTTTGTCTTGGGGTTATTCTGAGCTTGTAGTTTTTAACAAGATGTGTGAGGGCCTGGCACAAGTCAACACTTCATAGTAAACTATTAATCATTACATTGGTTCAGTGGTTTGAATGCTACTCTTTGAACAAGAGAAAGAAAGAGGCAGATGAAGAGGTAGATCAATACGGCTTTCAAGCCAAAGAGAGCTGCATAAGCTTTGTTTAAAAGACACTGGTACAAACGTTAGTAGTGGTTACATATGAGAATGACACCAAAGAAGATGAAAACAGACAAAAACCATTTTTTTCTGCTGGCATCGTCTCTCTTCTGTCCTCAGCCTCCACATTTTCTGTCACTACTGAGAAGAAAAGAGGACAGAAAGACACAAGAGAGGTTGTGACGGATTAAAAAAAAACATTGCTGTAAGAGAATATCTGGCTTTATCCTCATGGACAGAAGCTTTGTTTGTGAGGATGTTAAGTTTGAGGGCAAACAACCAACAGAAATTCCATGAGATAGTAAAAACAAACATCTCTCAGGCAGTAGATACAATGTGAAGTCTTTGGATGAAACTTCACCATGTGGCTGTGGAATTATGTGAACTGCATGTGACATCTTTTATAATGTGGCTGATATGGGCAGTGTATTGAACAAAGCCAAAGACAACTGAAGCTTGAATTGTTTTGTCTCAAAAGGCCACCACAGATGGTAATGCATACTGAATAATTCACTACTCTAAAAAATAACCCACATAATGCAGAATTTGATGTTTTCTCTGTGTATTCTGGACTGGCGGTGCAGCAGTGTGTCTGAATGGCTCTTTGGTTTTACATGTACCTGCATGTTGTGATGGGGACTATGTGTTGGTTTTATCTGGCTGAGAAAGACTCAGAGAAGCATCTTGGGTGGTGTTTGAGTCTCTGTGCTTGTGGGATGATGGCATTTTTGTTTTAGCATTGATGAATTATTGAGGTGTGGAGAGTGCAGTGAGCCGGGCAGGAGTCCGTGTCTGTGTGTGTGTGTGTGAGAGAGATGAGACCTGTTAGTACACTCCCTAATGCTATGTCTCTACTTGCATTAACCTCTCATTTTAGCCTCATCTGGTGTTTTAGCATTTACTGGTAAAGTGAATACCCAGCAACTTTACCCAACCCAACTTTACACTCTATACTGCACTTCTGCAACAGCCTAGTCCTTTCTAATAGTCATATCAAGTCAATGTGGTTTTAATTTTATGCCACACTTCTTTATAGAAGAGAAAAGGAAAAACTGAAGCCACAATTCCAGCAGCCACTTGAAAATTGGCTGTAATACCCAAACCTTTATGTGTAAAACTGGTGGAGTGGCCCTTTAATATAAGTTTAATAGGGGTATATTTATTCACCAGTCCTTTTGGTTTCATTTTAAAAGATAGTTCAATAACTTAATCAGGTTCTTCAAATACTGTCTATCTATGGTCCCTCATCTGTTTGTCGTTGCTCAGTGGTTTAAAGGTTCTTGCTTTCCAACTGTTTTTATTCTTGAGTGTTTGCAGCTGCCTTGTGCGCGGAGGTGGAGGAACGGCTGGTGAGTCACCTGTTGTCACCGGAGCATTACAACAAGCTGATCAGACCAGCTGTCAACAACAGCGAGCAGGTCACTATCTACATCCAAGTGTCTCTAGCCCAGCTGATCAGCGTGGTGAGGAAACGCACACAGACAAAAATCTGAATCAGTTTAATGTGTTGATTCATAGAGACAAATCCCGCTAATTTATAATTATTGAAAAACACATATGGTGGAAATGATTTTAATCCTTAAAGGATAATGCAGGTGATCTTCTATCACATACAGAGACTAAAACTAGCCATGTATTTTGTGTACTCACTGTAATGTCTGTGAATCCATAGCCTGGTTTAGCTCATTTGTCTGTGTCATAGACCTTCTTTGTAGTCCAAAAGGTAGAGTATAAGTTTTTTCAGCCCTCCAAAGGCTAAAAACAGCCATCCCTTTTTACAGCCTCCTAAGTAAGAGAGCTACTTTCCTGTGCCAGAAGCTTGCAGAACAGCGTAATGTGGATGTGCAGTTGACTCATGCTGACTTCAGAGATTGTAAAAAGGGATAACTATTCTAAGCTTTTGGAGCTGCTTTTTCAAAATAAGATGTGAGGAAGAAACATGTCACCCAGTGCAGCAGTGTGGCTAACTGGTCTCTAGAAAAGAGCACGTTCACTGTTCACAAAAACAATACACAAAATTCATTGTTGGCTTTTGTTTCTGCATAGAATTTGAATAAAATAACAAAAAATAAAAATAAAAACTCACTGACGCTTATAGTTGTTTTTGGCGGCCTGTTTTCTTTTTAGTTTTAGTCTGGTCTTTGTGTGAAGCTGTCATTTTAGTTTTTATTAGTTTTAGTTGACGATAACTGATGACATTTTAGTCTAGTTTTAGTCAATGAAAATTGTATTTTAGTCTCTTTTTAATAATGCAATTCTATTTAACCTGGTCTATAGAGTATAAGTACCTAGTAGTATAGATGAAACCAAACGTTTCTTTTAGTCAAACCCATTTCAAACAAGGTTATCTTATTATATTATTGTTACCTTATAGACTCAAGAGTACATCCAATACACATTTTGTGTGATTTTTCGTTGACGAAAGCAACACTACTGATGCTATCCTTTAATACTGGAATCATATCTTACACCATCTTCAAATCTACTTTCTGTGTCTTTCAGAATGAGAGGGAGCAGATCATGACCACCAACTGTTGGCTCAATCAGGTTTGTGTCCTCATTCATCTCAGTGTGAAAAATGTGTAGGGACATTCTGCTGGGTTCACTGGTGGGGTCAGCTCAGGCCAGAGGCTGACTGCACCAGTGTGTGTCTTGGTATGCATGAACTCACGTGTTTATATGTCCGGTTGAATGTGTTTTATCTTGTAAAAGTCTGTGTGATTTTATGTTCTTGTATATGCTTACGTACTATATATACAGTAATATAGCTGTATTTGTATTATGAGCATGTGCAGTATGATTTTTGAATTTATTCATTTATCTGTTTGTGTGTGGGTGGGTGCACTTGTTCATCAGGTATGGCATGACTACAGATTGATGTGGAACCCTGAAGAGTATGAAGGAATCAAGAAGATCCGACTCCCGACACAACACATCTGGCTGCCAGACATCATCCTCTACAACAAGTGCGTTTGATTTGTGACAGATTGTTTGCGTGTTTGTGGTGGTGGGGTCCCAGGCAGAGCTCTTCCCTTGAGATGATAAAGACAGTCTCTTCAGTGCAAAGGAGCAGCATAAGTTTCATTTTTTTTAAAGTATATGCATCTGCAGTATCACGTGTGAACATTGTAAATGTGTTTGAATGACTGAGAAATAGTCTTTTAATATGATTTACCAGCAACCAGTGTCTCCATAAGCACTTATTTTCCCTTACCTTTGCTTATCTTCCACTTTTTCCACCTCTCAGTGCTGATGGGACCTATGAAGTCTCATACTACTCCAATGCCGTGATCTCCAACAACGGTGAGGTGTACTGGCTACCACCAGCTATCTACAAGTCGGCTTGCAAAATTGAAGTCCGTGATTTCCCTTTTGACCAGCAAAACTGTACCCTCAAGTTTCGCTCCTGGACTTATGACCACACTGAGATTGATCTCATCCTACTCAGTGATTTTGCCAGTCGTGATGACTTCAAACCCAGCGGTGAATGGGATATTGTCTCACTGCCTGGACGTAAGAACGAAGACCCTAATGACATCAAGTACCTGGACATCACTTATGACTTTATTATCAAGAGAAAACCTCTGTTCTACACTATCAACCTGATCATCCCCTGCATCCTGATCACGTCGCTTGCTATTCTGGTGTTCTACCTCCCATCAGACTGTGGCGAGAAGATGACTCTCTGTATCTCTGTCCTCCTCGCCCTGACCGTGTTTTTGCTCCTAATCTCAAAGATTGTACCACCTACATCTTTAGCAGTGCCTCTGATTGGGAAGTACCTGATGTTTACCATGGTGCTGGTCACCTTCTCCATTGTCACCAGCGTTTGTGTGCTTAACGTGCACCATCGGTCCCCAAGTACACATACTATGCCTCCTTGGGTCAAGCGTGTCTTCCTGTACCAGCTCCCCTCTTACCTCTTTATGCGGCGACCCGGCAGCTCCAACATCCGTGACAAGTTCCGGAAAAAACACCAGAAGCGACCATACTCTGACCAGAAGCTGCGTGGCGTGGACGGAGGAAGTCACGCGGGAATGGCAGATTCCTCTTCGTCCTTCTTTGTTAACGAGGAGTCTGCCAAATGCTATGGCTGGAAGATCAGAAACTTGCCAGAGAACACAGAGTTCAGAAAGAGGATGACACTCAAGAGCAACATTGATTTGGAGGATGCGATAGACGGAGTGTGCTACATCGCTGAAAAGATGAAGAGCGAGGATGATGATGAAGGGGTAAGTGTGTGGAAGAAATATGTACATACATGAACAAATGAAAGCTTCTCTCACCTGTTTGTTTTTCTCATGCAATTTACTTTTTCTTACTGACACAAGTTGATTACACTTTTAGAGATTTGTACATTTGTGGCAGGATAGCAGCCTTGACAATATACCTTTCAGTCATGCTAGTGATGTGGCTCTGTGGGTAGCAATGTTGGCGATCGGTCAGTCCACCACTTTGTTGCTTACTGAAATATCTTGGACCTCATTAAAAGTGAGAAGATACATCTCATACATATAATAAATGAAAGTATTGACATGGAACAGACAGTGATTGTCCCCAGAGCGTTAAGCCTATTGACACTTGTCCTGTAGCTCCACCATAAGGTTCACATTTATGATTCAGAGTGAAATTCCTTCATGGCTATTGGATCAATCACCATGACATTTGGTACAGACATTCATCTCCTCCTCAGCATAAACTTTGGTGATTCCCTAACTTTTCATACAGTGCCATGACCAAGTCAAAATTTTTATTTGTCCACTTCTTTAGGTTTTTACCAAATATCTGCAAAAACTAATGGCATTTCCACCAGCCTCGGGTGTACTTTGTTCTGAGTGCTGATTGGAAATCGTAGTATGCTAACACACTAACTAAAGTGGTGAACATGGAATTTTGCCAATTAAACAGCATGTTAGCATGCTGACACTAGCATTTAGCTCATTTGTCTAATTGATTTATAGTAAAAGGGAAATTATTCAGTTAAAATACATTATGAATTGTACATTTGTATTGTAGTACTGCAAGGACACACTCTGCAAATGCTGATTGTCTGGGCTGTGTCATCTGTAATTTGTGATGGACTGCTTTATGTAATCTCTGCCACATGTGTTTTGTATATCATGTAGTTGTGTTTGGAATTGTGCTTCTTTGTGTTTGTGCATTTTCTTTGGAATTACACTGAAATGGTTTGCAGATTATTAGTGTTATTTTCTGGAAATGCAGCTTTCAGATTTGTGGGTTATTAGATTAGACAATGATAATTAGTGACAACATCAAGTCTTTCCACTTTTTATAAAAACAGATCAATGTCACAACTGTTGTGTTGGCAATATTGGCAGCACATTTACTCTAACATTTAACTTCTCTTTCTCTCCGCAGATCATTGAAGACTGGAAGTATGTGGCCATGGTGATCGACCGCCTCTTCCTGTGGGTCTTTGTCTGTGTGTGTGTTGTTGGGACAGTAGGACTCTTCATGCAGCCTCTGTTCCACAGTTATAACACCCCCATTATTGATGACATGAAACATAACTAAAACCTGGAACTTTAGTCTCAACATGACTTAGACATGAACTTTGAGCCCCCCCCACCCAAGAAGCACAACTCTGATAACATTTTAAAACATAATGCACACCCCGCTCTCATTGGAAAATGATATGGAGGCACTTTAGCCTCCACCACGACCTAGTCCCCTGCTAACTTCCATCCCTGAAGATCACTTCCCTGTGTCCTTTTGCCACTATTTCTATAACAGTGTATGGGTGTGTGTGAACAGGTGCCCGACACTGTGACAGACTGATCGAATCTATGGCAAAGTGTTATGATGTTTGACAGCAGCCATATTTTGTTACAGTAGTGCTAAAATACAGGACTTAATGCCATTGACCACAGGGCTGTTGTTACTCACCATATGTCTTTTAAAAGGTACAGTACACTGGTTTCAGTTCAGTTCTTATCAGGATCATCATCACCAAGAAATCCAGCAGCAGCAGTAGCATTGAGTAGTATTTTATACACACTGTCCTGGAGCAAATGAGCCAAACACTCTGACTTTTCACTCATCTTCCATCATGCCTCATTATTGCAGCCTGTTCTCAGCAATATTACTTGAATCAGTGTCCAGAAATTATTTCAAAGAGGTTTTATAACAAGTCTCTGTCATAATGCACTCATCTGTCACTGCTACTGTACCAAGGTTAGCCAAGGAAAAGGTCTGCTGTACTAATTCAGCTGTACAGATTTCTTTTATTTTTGTTTTGTTAATGGGTGGAATGAAACTTGTTCTTTCTTTTGTCTCACTGACCAGCGATCTCATTTGGTTTCTTGACTTTTGTTTGTTGAGGCAATAAATGCAGAGAATTACAAGAAAGGCCTGTGATGGGATCTATCATTCTAACTAGATCAATAAAGGGAAATGAAAGCGACGAGCAGAAATAATGTAACAGTTATTCTGTACTGCAATTGTTCATTCAGCATTGTAAACATGGATTAAGCTCTGTATGAATCTATTTTTGAGGCTTTAGACTGTCTCACTCACTGTCTCCACTCCATCTCTTCCTCTTTTATTTAGCAGGTATTTACTAGGTTAGTGGCGTGTTACCTTGTTAAGGATGCCACAAAATAAATCCTTAATCTCTTTTCCCCCACCTCACACATTCTTAGCCATGATGAGATGATTCAAAATCAACATAGATAAAACAAAAAACATAAGCTCCTACCAACAGCAGCACTGAAATATTTCATAACTAAAATTGTTTGCAGCCCCACCGCCACCCTCTACAAAATAAGCAGTATAGACCATGGATGGATGGATGGAAATATTCCAAATTAGTTGTAATTGTATGTGTGTATATATGGGTATTTATGGACATTTAAAGGTCTCTGATTATTTGTTTTTTTCAGAACACAAAAGTGAATGAGCTGCTGTTTCCAGCAACTGCTGATGCTTCCAGCAAAGGTACCACTGCATCATAATTTTCCAGTAAATATCATATCACTGACTCGCACGCACATACACCGAGAGTCAAACAGTGACATATCATACAGATGTAGTGACAACCACTGAACCGAAGTTGCATTGAACAATCATAGCTCGTATTGCTTCTCTCACTGACTTATAGATTAGATATTTGACATCTGCATCAATTTCCATTAAGAAAGTGGCCACATAGGTAAGGGGAAGCATAAAGAGGTGAAGGGGTCATTGTGTTGCTGCTACTGAGGTTTCTGGTTTATAAAAAATTACACAAATGTTGCTTCTGCTGTCTTCTGGTGCATTATTTTTAGTTTTAAAGACACCGCAGATTGATGATTACTTCAGAAGATTCTTTAAACTCTTGAGTAGTTTTTGCACTTTCTGAAATTAAATCAATGCATTTACCAAATTTAAGGTATGAATTTTGTATTTCTGTTCAAAAACTTGACCTTTTTTGTATAATTCCTTTGTTTACTGAAGTTTAATATGCAGTTTCCTGTAGCTTCTCCCAGTGTTGGTCTAGAGGCCTGGTTCCTGTGTTTCTTCTCCAAAACACATGGAACAATCGACTGCTGCCAGTGAGGAGCTTAAACAGCATGGAGGAGGATCACACCAGTGAGCCATGTCAAAGAGCGCTAAGTCCCTGTCTGTTCCCAGAAATTTGCCGGTGCAATGTCGAAGACATGACTGCTCCTTTTACAGTAGTAATGAAACTAAATTTTATTGGTGGTGGGAAAAGAAGAAATCTTATTGATGTGGTTTTATAAGTTGCTCAGCTCTTTGCCAACAAGCTTGTTGACTGTGAGTTTAACAAGTCTACCGGATGGCAGCAGAGCACATTAACTGTATCCATCCATCTGGACACACACTTTACATTTTACAGTCAGCTACCAACTAATGGCAGCAAATGACATGTGCGTATTTGCATTCATTGAGTAGTATACCAATAACAAACTACATAAAGCCTTTTCTTCAGAGGTGAAAAACTGAAGAAAAAATCTGAATGCTAGAGGTGGTGTTTTTGTCTCCAAGTGTGATCATGAAGCATCACAGAAGAGATGAAACTGGATGGGTGGAGTGAGAGGGAAGGAAGTAACAAGCAGTGTGGGACAGAGGGACAGGTATGATAGAGGGAGACAGTGATGATGAAGGTTGGTCATAAACAAGAGGTGCTGGCAGTATAGACCACTTCATGCTGTAATCAGAGATCAATAAGCACTTATTCCTTTCTGAAAGATAAAAAAAACGAGCTGTAGACATACATATAATGTGCATATGTGCATGTTTGCAGATATAAACGTAAAGGGCCTTTGAGTCAGGCAAGCATTTGCAACTGCAATGTGCATTTTATTGCAAATTATTATTTAAAACTTTTTTTTCTAAATACAATTATGTGGAAAAATCTGAGATTACTGTAATTTTATGAGGTTTTCTTTTTCTCTCAGCTCTCAGCCAAAAACTGTTTTGTTGTTGTTGCTTTGTTTTTGGTTTTGACCCCAAAAAAGAAAACCAGAAACTTTGTTTGACAGAGAATTAGATTTGGGAATGTTTATGAAGTTTAGTTAAGGTATGCAAACACAAACTACAAATGTCTGTCTGCATTGACATATTCTATTCTCTTCTATAATCAGTGTCTTGTGTCTCAGATGCAGCATGGTGATTGTCAGCAGCTTGCTCTGTTTCCTGTAGCCAGCCGTTGCCCTCCATCTCCCCCGTTATCTTCCCCAGGACATTCCTTGAGGATTTATACCTGCCATTTCAGCCCTGTGGTCAATATTTATGAACTACATGACTGCATTACAGAATGTGTAGCTGCTATGCAGTTGAGTAAAGGCTCTATCGACACACAGCCATGGTCTTAACACTTCAGAGGGTTTTAATGTGGGCTCAGGGGTTGCTCAGTAATGTCCCTGCCGGAGTGATAAATATCTCCTCAGACAGATGTGCTGCTCACTAGTGGTTATAAGAGACACTGCAGTTCTCAGTGTTTCTGTCAACAGCACTAGGAGTAAAACAAGCAGGCCTGTCAGTACTTTACCACTACAACTAACCATAAAGAAGCAACATAATGTTTTGGGCTGACTTTGCAGTAAATACACAGATTTTTAAAGAATATTCTGGTAATAATCACCTACTACATAAAAAAAATCAACATCAAAATACACATGATTTTTATACGTCATAATTTAGATTTATTACTGACCCCCGGTACACAACATAATATCTGAGGGGTTGGAAGATGATTAACAGAGTAAGTAACAGTTTTTGCTACATAAAGGTATCTTAATCTTTTCAGACCTTCATCTAATCCTTGCCTTTTGCTTATGGATCATTGGATAAAATTAGATTGTGTTTTAAAAAAGGCCCATTAGAGAGAAAGAGAGAGAGAGAGAGAGACAATCACTGACAAGCAGACAAACGCGAGGGGACTTAGATAATGAGAAAGCTTTTTGTCTTTTCTGTCTGTTCGACCCCTCAGACTGCTGCTGTTTAATTATAAAGGATGAACAGAGAGAATTAAAACATAAAGCAGAATGTAGTTGTAAGAACGACTGTAAACACATTAAGTGTTTTTGCTCTAGATCTGTATGTATGTGAAAGAACACAGAGAAAGGGAAAGTGTTTAAATTCATGGGGAAAAAGAACAGCACAGAGAGATGGTGGTTTAATTAGCAGCAGAAGACTGTAATCAGATAACTGTGATTTGAATGGTGAAGGAACTTTAATTAGTTGCTTCTGGCTGCAACAGGCCACAGCATGACCAAGCAGCCTGCATATAGTAGACACTGGATGGATGGAAAATAGGAAGTGAAGTGTCTGTGGTGTTAATGGGACTGGAGCAAGACAGAGAGGAAGAGGAGGAGTGAGCAGTGAGAGCTGGGGTGGAGGAGGTGGGAAGGGAAGAATGGGTTTGAGTAAGTGAATGCTGAAGGGTTGAGCAGGGTCACAGAGTATAGCGTGACTGGCAGAACAAGACAAGCTGTGGGAGGAAGGGGGATGCTGAGAGCTTTTAAAAATGGCTTGGCTGGGGGTGGTTACAGTGGTGGGATCAGACAGAGCAGAAGGAAGAAGGGAATCATGGGAGGAAGGCTGAACTGTTAGGGTGGGGTTAAAGGACAAGGAAGGAAAGGTGGTGACAGAAGTTGAGATTATATTTTAATCATATTTTTGACATATTTTGCTTACCAAAAAAATGAAATGCCAGTTGATTCATAAAAGTATGAATTAAAAATTAAATAGGTTTTGGGTTTTTTTTGCACTGTAAATATCAGACTGCTGCAGCTGGAAAAGAGTAAAGTTAGACTGAATCTAAATGGCAAAGACATGGGTCCTAAAACCAAAACAATGAGCTGAAAATCACTAAAACGCTCTGTAAAACGAGGGGGACTGCAGAGTTGGTGATAATTCACACTGAGTTTGTGACAAGTGACCCCTTTTATATTGCATGTTGTCATTGGATTCATTATTGATATATACATAATATTGATTCATGCAGCATTACATTTGTTTGAAGACAACTGTATATTAAAGTATATATGTAATCTGTTCCAAGATACTGTACAGTTTACTGGTCAGACTTAACTGCAACTCGTTGTTTGCAGGCAGACATCTCATCAGTGAGGGGAAGAAAAGAAGATCTAACAATGCGCTTAATTCAGTTTAATTAAATTCAAAAATAACTTTATTGTCTCCAAAGGGCAAAGAGAGGAATACAAAAAACATCAACACAGCAAGACATCAGACTGAGCAAAACATAAAACTAAAATAAATATCTAAACAGACAATTCAAAAACTGTTTCCGCACCGAGTGCTTTAAGCACATGCAGGTATTTCAATCACAGCTTCTTCTCCGAGTTTACCCTAGTAATAGCAGAGGGTGTTTATGTGTGTTGGTACTGGCTAGCGGCTGCCTGAGAAGGGAGCCAGAAGACAAGACATGGACCTCTGAAGGCAGAGGATGGGAGCTGTCTCACAGAATAGACTGAGCTTGCCAGACAGACAGCTTAATTGAGCTCCAGTGATTTTACTACAAACTTTGACCAACCCAGTTAAATGAACTTTTCTTTTTAAAATTAAGAGAGCCATAGATAAAAATCTATAAAACAGTGTCATTAGCCTTAGAGAGGGGATAATATGATTTATGAAAAATAGAACTGTAAGCAGGAAAACAAGGCTGATTTGGAGACTAAGCAGACATACTGTATAAACATGAAAGCAGTCGACTGAACATAGAGACAAAGTACCAAAGTACTATAGATTCAGCTGATGTGGATGAGTCAGGACAGTCCTGTCTGAGACACACTGCTGCAACTACACTTGCCCTTTTCCTTTCCCTTTGCTGTCTCCACCAGGCCCTCCAGGTCCTTATGCTTTGTCTGAGTTGTCTGACTGGCTGTTTCTAAACAGTGTGTCTAGCTGTGTGGTCATACAGGGGAAGACCCAGGACAAAGGACAAGAAAGAGAGAGAAGTAGCAGAGTGATAAAAAGAGAAGTCCATAAACAAAGTTAAGAGTGTTGCCCTCTTTTTGCCTGCTCTGTTGGAGCATCAGCAGTGCTGGGATGTCACCTCAGCTGGAGATGGTATCGAAACACCAGTCAACCGATAGTGGCACTGTAGGGCAGTGGTCTCCTCCTGTGAAACTGACTAGTTTCCTGCAGTGCTGCAGATGCTGCGTCTCTAAATGAATCCAATGAGTCCCACTTTTTTTCTTTATGCTTCTTCATCTCGGTATTTTCTTAGATAAGTCTACTGTAGGCCTGTCTTCATCCTGTAATGTCAGTGGCTTCAGAAAGTTTTTATGCTATACAACAACTGAGGAAGCATCTATTTCCATTTAGACAACTTGGCACATAACACCCCTAACAGCCTCACACTCTCCCTCCCCCACCCAAGACCCCCAGGCAAACTAGGTCCTGTTCCTCCCAGCCAGTCTCCCAGGTGCTCAGCCTCACTCTTCTCCCAGTTCACTCGTGCAGAAGAGAAAAAAAAAGAAGCTACTTGGCTGTTTCATGTGCTTCAGTGTGACAGAGCCAGTGAATCTTTTTGCAAAAATGTAATGACTCAGCAAGATGCAGAGAAAAGCTGAGGAACAGTCTCCACCCACGGGTCTGGACTGTGGAGAAGCAGGAGAACTTTCCTGTGCCCTTTCACTCTGTGTTCTCTTTATTTTTCTGCCACCCACCTTATAGTTGTATTTGTTTTCTCCCTCCATCTTTTCTCCACCAACAGCTCTCCAGTTTCTCTTTGCCACAGAAACAAAGATCTAGAGAGATTTTCCCTTTGGAGTTGAGCTTTAGTCTATAAGGTCAATTTGTGACTTTATTCCCCTTTAATTAATCAATTAACATCTCTTTTAATCAACAGCCTTAGATAACAAACTGACTTTACAGAAATCAGTGTGAATGTTTGAGTCTCTGATGCCATGGCTTTGACATCTTAATTTATGAAGTATATACTGAATGTACAAAAATATTCTCTTGTGTAATTGCAGCTCTTTTTCTAAAGCCTACATCCTAATTATCTTAAAGCTTAAACATTTCCTCTGCTCAGCCCATCTGCCTTGTACTGGCATGTTTTTCTTTGTGATTTGCTTTTAATTAAATAAAGGGACTGGATTTTAAAGCCACATCAGGAATAAAGTCCCTAATATTTATTTAATATCCCTATATTTCAATCACTATCAGGACTTAGAAAACAGTGATTGTGCCACTGTATCAGTTGTAATTACAGTACGTGGAAGACAAACAATCAGCTATGGAGCATAAACTATGAAGAAATATGTCCTTTAATTAATTATGAATTCATTGTGTCCATTTTTACAGAACAGAGTAGACTTTATCAGCGGGCCTCTTCTGCATGTACATGTTATGGTAGCTCGACACAACTGTGAGCGAGCAGAGAATAAACAGACCCAGGCGGCTGGCTTCGGTGCAAGTAGTGAATTTATTTACAGTGCTAACAGGGGTGCAATAACAATATACAAAAATGGAAGGAATGAATATCACCGGGTGTTGACCAACAGTGGTAGAGGGGTTATTGTCCATGGAGTGATGTAGGCTGGCTGCGAGGGTAGGAGTCACTCCTGGGCTGGTCAAGGTGGAGATCCGGTTGACTGAGG